TTGAATTATAAATTGTAATTAATTATTTTCATCAATATGATTTATGAGGAACATTACTTCAAAGCTATCGGGCTACTTCTTTTTGTAACTAAGTAATTTTTTTCTGTATAACAACAAAATAATATCTCTGCTCCAATAATTGTTTAAGATATAAATAAATAAACAAGTAGTTTAAATATGGGAATAAATACATTTTTAGCCTGGAATATTATTATATTTTTAAAGTATGATCGGTTTCGAATTAAATGTTTATCATCAAGTATGTTTACATTCGTGCGCTTTCCACTTTTCCATTTTCAATTCAACTTACGTTTCAACATTCAATTCCACTTTCATTCAACGCATGTCTTAATTGAACGCAATAGATGCACGTTTTTTTCTGTTCACATTAGCAACGTCACAAAACAGTCGTTTTCCTGGTCGTTAACAAAAAACATGTCGGATTCACATTTACTTCTCGGTGTTAGTGCGGTATACTAAATTATTACAAGTGCCAACAAAAAACGTAGGAAAACGCATTCTTTGTGGGTCAAAAATTGTTTAAAAACTCAAATTTTTGGAATTATAGATGATTTGCAATTAGACGAAGATTTTTTATTTAATAACTATACACGAATGTCTAGGTCTTCGGTTTCAGTCATTTTTTCAAGTCAAATAAAATAATTAAAATAATTAGTAAAACATTAATATAAAATTAAAGTAAAATAATAAGTGAAATTCAATATAAAACTCACGGTGTGTTAAACGAATTTCCATTGAACGCGGAAAACCTTGCATTGTAATGTGCGTCACGAAAATGTAGCCATTCAACTCGAAAGGGTTGCTAAAAAAAAAGGAAAGGAAATGTGCTATTGTAAGCTTTATGTCCAACTCGTGGTGTGCTATAACGAATTTAACGCACGAAAAAGCGTTTGAGTGTAAACATACCATAAGTAGACAATTTGTGTTCATACACACATATTTTTCGGAATTTATCTACGAATTTGATAAATTTAAAAATAACTACGATAGATAATAATAATAATAATAATAAATGAAAATATCATTTATATAAAATATAAAGCAAAAATAATAGTAATAATAATAATAATAATAATAGTAATAGTAATAATAATATTATTACGACCAACTCGTTGAATAATTGTAGCGCGATCTAGCGATGAGGTTATCGATACTGTCAACTAGGCAAATAGGTTTAAGCATAGCATGTTTTAAGGAGTAATATTTAGGCAATTCATATGTAATTAATAATAATAATATTATATTCATATAATCTGTGCCACTGCCTACCAGTAGAGTTTTATGGATTCCCGGAATTACGATAATGATAAATTTTAAAATGTTATACAAATGTAATTACTAGGGCCCAGATTTTAATGCAAAGTGCTTTTTTTTTTTTTTTTTTGATTGATCATACACAATGATTTCTAAGAACATAAATTGTTTCGTGTAACGAGGGTTTCAAAGCTACAAATTTTATTTTGCATTTTTTCGTATATTTCGATGTTTTTTCATTTTTAGAGCATTTTTAGTATAATCGGGTCATTTTGTTGGTTTTTAATGCATATTCGTTCAATATGTCACAGAACACACCACACACACACAAATTCAATTTCAATTTAATTAAATATATTGATTATAATAATAATAATAATAAAACAAAAAGAAATTAAAATTAATAACGACAATAATAATTTAAATTGTTTAGTATTTTAAAATACTATACGCGTTATAATAAACACTATTATTATTAGAATAATAAAAAAAAAAACTACAAAAGAAATACCAAATATCAAATGACAGATTGTAGCAAAAAAAAAAAAAAATATAGAAAAGTTAAAAGGGCCATGAAGACGGCTAAAAGCAGACAATGCTTGGCGATCTGTACACCGTTCGCGGATGCTTCGTGAAACATCGTTGTTTCCCAGACCGGGTTCTTTTAAATCAATCCGATTGATAATCGAACGTACGATGATACCAAGGCACATCGCCCACCGAAGTAACATGACGCGTGATCTGGCAAGTTACGTGACGAGTGATTTGTCAGTAGCACGTTAGTAGCACGCCACTCGCGACTTTTGTACACGATTATACGAAAAATCACTTAATATCGCATACCAATCAAACATGTCAGAACATGCGTCACTTTGGAATCATTTCTGAATTTTTGTTACTGATAGCAGTGGCGCGTGCACTACTTTTGTTATACGTAACTAGCTCATCATTTCTATCAGTGACCACCTTGCGCACAATTATTTTATTTTATTTTCGTTTTAATTTCTAATTATTATTATTATTGATTAAAATACATTTGTGTAATAAAATACATAATATAATTAAATATATTTGTGTTTTAATTAAAATTAAAGAATACACATAAGTATAATAGATAAGTAGTTTTTAATACTTACTAATATTAATTATTATTATTGTTATTATACGTATATATACATACACAATGTGTTCATCGATTTAGGGAACACTGAATTTCTCAGCCGGATTTGTTTGGAATAAATCAAATTTTTTTTTTTTACAAACTGGTGGTATATGAATACACATTTTTCGATACATTTCAAACATTTTTGAGGATTTGGTCATAGTTAAATATTGACTGAATAAGAGCCATGTCAATTTTATTAAATAATACATTTTTTAAATTATTTTTAAATATTTATAAAATAATTTATAATTAATTCTTATTGGTTACTTGTTGAATATTTGTATTTTTTTTTAGAAATGTTATAAACAAGACTAACATAATATGGTTACAAAATTATTTATTAAAAATTCAGTGTTCCCTAAATCGGTGAACACACTGTATATAATAACAGTAAAAAAATTTTAATTGTATTATGTAAAATTTGTAGAAGTATGAAAGACGATCCTGAAACTAACATAAAATTTGTACAAACCGTACCAATGTATCTTTGTTTGTATGACTATAGTACAAAAGACTATTTTTCAAATCAAACATCAAAATTTCTTTATAAACAAATTTTACCTAAATTTAATAATTTGTATATTTTACTAATTTCGGGATTAATATAAAATGGAAACACAACGCCAACACATTTTCAAAAATAAGCCATTTTATAAAAAGTTCCACCAGTGCAACAAATACAGTAAGAGGAAAATATGGATACCGATTTTAAAATGTTTACACTGCAAGATTTACTGCCATCGAACGTGCCTACAGCAGAATAACAATACATGTAGCACTACAACGGATCTCGTCAAATCAACGGCACTGGTAAATAATGATTTGATGAACACGGACTTCCCTCGAAACTTTTGCCCAATATGTACACCTTTGAAACACACGAATCCGATTGAGAGTTGTTCTGATTCAAAGGTCACACCATACGACGAGACTATAAATTAGGAATCGGTGCCTAACTTTCCGTGTGTAGAAACCGAAACAGACGAAGGCCATAAAGATGACGGCATTGTTTACAAAAATAACGACGTTACCAAGGAAAATAAATAGAAGTAGCCACTAGTCTTTTTGATATAAAGTGTGTTTCATAAAGTGAGCAATTTTTTAAATACTTGGGAATTTTTTGTTTGAAGATTGTCAACTCTGTTTTAATTATATTTGTCATATATTATCTTCCTGATTAGTAGTTAATTTGTTATTAGATATTAAAACATCGATAAATACCTACCAACAAAACACAGATAATATTCTCACCTCAAAGTATTGCTATAGGTCAGATTACTTTAATATTAAAGTGAACACCCTATATTTGAACTAATGAACGCAAATATGTTATATTGTATGTGGTCAAACAGAAAAATGTGTCTTAAATTTTGTAAATTAATTTAATTAATATTGGTTTGGTGTTATTTTAAATTATTGTATCCAACAATTCAAAATAGTTTTATAATTATTTAACTACCCATCTACCTGATTAAAATTTTAAAAAAAAAACCAAAAAATTGTTCTTTTGAAAGCGTTAGGTATAGTAAGTTACGTATAGATTGTAATCGAATAGACCAGAAATGATCAGTGAAGAAATGTTTTGTTTACTACTCACTTAAATTGAAAATTGTACTATTTAAGGGTTTAATAATATATAGAATATCAAAACCAATAATTCATTTTTAATTTCAAATTCTCAATTGAATAACTTTCTTGTAAAATTGATAAGGTCCGGTTATGGTTTTAAACCAAAAGGTAGGATGCTCACATGCTTAATAGTATACCGTCTCGGAGTTGAGTAAATCCCTATTTATTGTGTGTCGGCTTAAAATCGTCAGGGCCGTTTTGAAAAGTAATAAATCTAATGTCAAATAACTTCTACCAATTTTTCTTTCAATAATGAATAATGTCAACTGAGAATAAATCGATTTTTAAATTTTTAAAAGCAAATATCATGGAAACACTTACCCTAAAGAGCAACTAATAAGGAATCGCAAGTATGTGTTATTAACGAGGCAAAAAACTGGTAAATCTAAATTTAAAAAAAAAAAAATTCCTTATCAAATATTACTTCGTAATTTTTACAGTTACTATTGGATGTTAATATATTTATAATGAAATTAATCAGATACTAAATATCAGCAAAATTGAATTTGTTTATTTAGTCGTTGTAATATAGTTTCTCTTTTTCCTTATAATCGTTTCTTTTTTCTTTCAACAGGTCTTGAAACTGTTTATAAATATAAAACTAAATTTTCACATAACATAAGAAAATATCATTAATGAACATAATAACTGGTTACGTATCCAGTAATTGGTAATCTCGTTGGATTAAAATATTCTAAATTTGAGTAAATTATACATTTAATATATGAAAAATAAAAAGACAATAATATACCTTCCACACAAGTAGGAAATAATTTTGTAATGTATATTTTATTTTAGTATTAATTAATATTATTAAATACAGGCATGGCTCAAAGTACAGTAGTAGATATTTACAATGGTTAGATTATTGCAGTAGAAGTATGAAGGAACTAGATAACCAAATTAAAAGATAAATAAATGGTGTAATATTTATTATTTATTATTTAATTACTATAAATTTGATACTTGATGTAATTAATTTAATTTTATGAAGTAAATGCAATTGTTGAAGAATCCATTATTGCTGTTTGGGTGTAGATTGACCAATAGATCGTCTAAAATAAAAACAAATAATTGATATCAAATTTAGTAGAAAATAAGTACAAGGGTTGTTTTTTTAAATTTTTATAACTTTATTGTTATTTACCTCAAACCTTGGATAATGTTTCTTGATCTCATTCCAGATGATTCGTAATTAGGTATGATTGGATAAGTGAATTCTCCTCTATCTATTACCATTTGTTTTTGATTCATCGTATTTGCAACTTTTGAGCTTGTTTTATACTTATGCTACCTGTATTCAAATGCTAACGTAAAACAAGCCAGTCCAATCCCAACAAATATAACAATAAAAACTCCACCTAAACAAAGAATTAAGTTATAGTATAATTATATATAGGTATACGAGTAAACGTATATACAGGAAACGTATATATCAGTAATAAATAATAAACAATAGCCGTAGCGTGTTATGATGTTTTTTTTAAATGTTATATTTTACATACTCATAACACACTTAAAAATTGAAATATCGGAAAAAAACCGACCAACAAAACACAGATAATGTTCTTCCCTTAAAGTTTGATTATTGGTCAGTTTACTCTAATATTAAAGCTAACCTCACTACATTTGAATCATTGAACCCAAATTTGCTATTTTTTACGTATGTCAGACGGAAACAAAACATGCGGGTGTGACTTCCTCTTAATAGTAATTACTAGAAATGTTCGGTTACTGAGTGAGTGAGTTGATTCAAAAAGTCTACTCTTTTAGGTAAGCTAAATGAGTGAGTTGAATCAGTGCGCCATAATTCAATGACTCAATAACTTATTGTTACCCACCTATATACAAATATATACATATTATTGTATTATTTGTGGTTTTACCTCCTAGTTCTTATCAATTATCGACTAAATGTTATAATTTTGTCAGCTCGTGACTTGTGAAGTGTGTCAATTGAAATATGTAGTTTACTAAATTGGTGATTCATTATTATCCGAAACGAAATGTATAGTTGATAAGAACTTATTGAGATAAGAGTTGACTCACTGAATCAAATCATTGGAATTAACTAAGTGAATTGAATCATTATATTAAGTCAAAATTTCTACCTCTAGTAATTACCAATTATTAAATATTCTTACCATCATGTTGCTACAGTAATATGGTAAATGCTACAGTAAATGCTCAATAATTTTATTTTTATTTCATTTTTTTTTTTTTTTTTTTACGAGCCTCCGGTAACCACTGACATTGGCTTATAATCATATGTATGCGCTTGTGCATCTGTTATCTCATTTACCCTACGAATTGAAAATGTATTTGTTAAGATAATGGTTAAGATGATAAACTCTCTTAGTGCCCATTGCAATCGGATTGTTAACGCATACTCGACAAGGCCAACGCGTTTTGTATGTTGTTATTATTATTATTATTACTCTTATTTAAACAGTAATTGATTACTATATTTATTAATTTTGTATACATTTTCGTCCGACTCGCCGCAAAACATTGGCTATCATTGGTCCATAGTTGTATTACGCGCACGGTATTACTTACATTGTGTTTGTCTCTGTGCATCGTTATCCTGCAATGCCCGCTCTACCTTTATTCGTCTGTTCCGTACTGTTATTGTGATTTTGGCAGTCGTCCTAGTTGCAGCTTACCACAGGAATAGATTTGAAAATATATATTCGTCCTTTGTCCATGTACTCAAAGGCCGTATGTAATTGAATGGGTTTTATTGCGCTTGGTTATGATTACTATGTTGCAGCCGATCATCGGAGATGTGATACACTCTTGAATAGAATGAACTCGCTAACCGATGGTTATAGTTCGTGCATGATGTCCATGAATGTAGATTGTAAGGAGCAGCTCAAAACCCAGTTTGTTACCAGGGAGGGTATTTACAAACTATTGACGTTGGCCACATACTCGCGTCCAAACCGAATCGGTTACAATGTGCAAACTAATACATCTGTGTATGTATCCTTTGTTAGCTATTCTGATTCCAATGGCAATGATGATAGGATCTGCTTCAACATTGGTCGTGAGCTCTTTGTTTTTGTTTACAAAGGAACCAAAAAGGTGAGTGCACAAACCCATACTATTCAAACTAACATGAACTGATAGTTACGATTAATTCATTTAACAATTCAAAATGTGATATTATACCTCCTCTTGATTATATCCTAGTTATTTCAGCACCTTAGAATTTATATATTTATCTTAAATCAATTATAAAGAAATTACATTCATTTTTATCATATTAAATAATACTATTTTTTTTATAATATTTTGCTTCACACTTTTATCTACTGGTACTGGTTTTAATATTAAAAATCATTGTAGTTTATTTAATTTAATTCTTAAATATGAATTTTGAATTAATAATCTGTTAATTATAGTTTGAAAAATGTAATGTTAATTGCTTGTTTGATGTGTAATAACTGAAATTTACCATTAAAATATTTGTTAAATTTAAATGTCAATAATTTTTTAGGGTGCAGATCTAACCAAACCCATTGATAAAAAAATGTACAAAGGCATAAATCCAACTTGTCATGATTTTAATTCAGTTGCCATAACTGAAGATTCACTACCATTGATTGTAGGATTTTCTACAGGACTAATACAGCTTATTGATCCTATAAGAAAGGATGTCAGTGTATTGTTCAATGAAGAGGTAAACAAAATTTTCATTGATCAAACATAGTTAATATAGTTAAAGAATATCTTATTTATAGCCAATTAAAAAAATGTCTTTTTTATTTATTTATTTTGAATTAAAGATTTATATTTTAAAAATACTTAAATAAATACATTTTTATTCAAGAGATTTTTATATTTATAATATGTAACTACTTTTTTTTAATTAAAAATGCATCATCGGGTATATACGAGGTATACAAAATAGTGGTTTTATTATAAACCTAATGATGAATTTTTAATTAGAAATCAGTTGTATATTACAAATATAATAATACTTTAGGTTAAGTTTTATTTATTTATATATTCATTTACATGTATCAACTATTTATTAATTTTAACTTTATTATTTAAAAATACACTAGCATATTTAAATATTTTGTTTAATTAAAATTAAAATTTTTGATAAATATACTTTTAATTTATTGTATCTACTGTTTTACTCTAATATTTATTGAACACAATAATTCTTGTATTTTATATATACATACATATTGATTCATTTCTTAATTTCTAAGGTTAAATATGTTATATATATAATATGTTATATTTATATAACTAATTAATATGAGGAGTGAGTTAGGTTATTTTTATTTTAATAATATTGAGACATTAATTATTTGAATGTACTATTAAATCTATTTACGACTATTGGAAATTAAATAATTGATATGTGATGTGTTCTTATCCTAATTAATAACCTAATTTATTAATTATTATTATTTTATAATTTAATTGTTTGATGTTAATATTTTTTTTTTTAGAAAATTATTGATAAAACGAAAGTAACTTGTGTTAAATGGGTACCAAATTCAAAACATTTATTCCTGGTATCACATTCTAGTGGTCAATTATATTTATATAATGAAACATTGACTTGTGGTACAACAACACCAATTTATCAACAAGTAAAGTCTGGTGAAGGTTATACAGTGCATACTTGTAAAACAAAAAGTACACGGAATCCAATGTATCGATGGTTGATTGGTTGTGAGAACAACAGCATCAATGAATTTGCCTTTTCTCCTTGTGGTCTTTATTTAGCTGTTGTTTCCCAGGATGGATTTCTCAGGGTATTTCATTATGATCAAATGGAATTAATTGGAATGGCTCGTAGTTATTTTGGTGGATTCTTATGTGTCTGTTGGTCTCCTGACAGTCGGTAAATATAATATAGAATATTAAAAATTGTGTAAATATGTATATAATACATGAATATTATAGGCTAGTGTTTTATTGTAGTAGAATAAAAAAATTAAAAAAGCAGAAAGAGGGAGAAAAAGTATATATGTAAATTTATCTGATATTATGTACTATTAATATACTAAGTATGATATTAGATTTAATATTCTCATCAATGCATAGAGTGTGGATTATAGAAGAACACTAAGCTGTAATAGGAAAGGTGTTTAAAATTATGAATTTAATAGTTATCCTTTGTTAGTGAGAGAATTTTAATGATTTCCTTAATTACCGCTTGTCCTTTAATTTTTCGATTATTTTGCATGTATATATGTATTTCTAAGATTTGGAATCATCTTATAAACTTTGTATTGATAATATTAATCATTAAATAGATCATTTGAAGCTATTGGATAAATAATATTTTAAAATTACATTTGGAGTATATTCATTATTCATTATTATTCGAATGTTTTAATTTATTAATTTACATAATAAAAGTAAAAATAGTAAATATATTTAAAAAAAAAAAATACTACTTATTATATTGGATTTTCTTGGTATCATGTATTATTATAGTATTATTCTATAATATTGGAATAATTACTGTGATATAGAGTAAATTGTAGTATATTTATTTAAGAATGTTCCCTACTCATTATACATTTATTTAAGTATAACTGTTTACCTATTATTTATAATTATGAGCTACATGTCATTAATATTTTATATTTTAACATAATTTTTATTTTTTCCTTTTATTTGCCACTTAAAGTTTTTATCAGCTGTTGCTGTATTCTTATGTATTCAACTGTGCTTGAGATTTAGGTGTTTATACAATATATAAATATTAATATGATGTACATATTTTTAATATTTAAGTATTAAATATTATTTTTTACTTTTAGATATATAGTGGTTGGTGGAGAAGATGATTTAGTTACAGTATATAGTATTTCTGAGCATAGAGTCATAGCCCGTGGTCAAGGACATCATAGTTGGGTTAGTGTGGTAGCTTTTGACCCTTATACTAGTACACCTCCATCTATGGAACCATGTTTACCTGGATGCTACAGACTTGGCTCTGTTGGACATGATACACAATTATGTCTATGGGACATCACTGATGATGTTTTACATCATGTAACATTAGTATCACCAGTTCCTGCAACACCTAAACAAAATGGTGTTATACATCATAGTAAACACAATGGTAATGCTAATATTATACAAAAACAAACTCAAGACCCAATGCGATTGATTGGTACTGCTGCTTGTCCACGGTTTGATCAATGTCCACGACTTGAGCCATTAATTTGTAAGAAAATTGCTCATGATCGATTAACAGCCCTTATTTTTCGTGAAGATTGTTTTGTAGCAGCTTGTCAGAATGGATATGTTTACACTTGGGCTCGGCCTGGAACAATTGTAAGTGTTCAATTAATTAAATTTTAGGTCTAGAATTCATAAATATTTATTTTTCAGACTAGCATGAATGCACATTTAGTTTCTGATCCTAACTCCATCATATCATCAATAGATCTACCTTCATCAAATACAGCATCTGTAGTATAATAAACATTTTATATAAATTAATAGATGTAATAGCTGATAGTTGAATGTTTCAGTGTGGAATTAAGTTTAAGTTATAAATTGACAAGCAAAAGGTGATAATTAAAAAAAAACAATTATAGTTTAAAAAAATATTTTTCTTATTTATTATTCTCATACTTTAGAATATTAGTTACATAATGAAAAAAATTGAATTAAACCCAATAGGCTGTGATTGTTTATTAATATTGACAGCTATTTATTAAAATATCTTCAAACATCATGGAATCATAAAATAGTAAAACAAACTTTTTTTTTTTTGTTTATCTTTATTTATAATTTTTGTTTGTCATATTAATTGTATAAATTTATCACCTGTGATCAAAAATTTTATTATTTTTTCTCCATGTTTTTTTTGTAAATAAAAGATGGTTTTTGTTATGTTATTTTAGTGAAAAACAGTTAATTTATCATCAATATATACCACAAAATGTAATATCTTATAAGTAGAGCTCAGAAGTTGATACCTTTAAAATATTAAAAAATCACATTAGAAAAATGTAAATATAACCTAAAAATAATAAATAATGACTGTAAAATATGAACTTAAAAATTATATAAATAATTTTTTTTTTATAATTTTTCAAGTACAAATTATAAAAGTTTATCAATTACTCGTATAAAACTATTTCTTTGCGTTTAAGGAATTGGTTTATTTTTGTCAAATTTGAAGGAACATTATAAGGAAGATTATTGGACAGTAAATATTTATATTTAGAAAAACTTTTTTCCACGTCCATTGAATTTATAAGAGAACATTTGGAATTAGCCAAATCTTCAGCATTTAATTTATCACAAAAATTTCACTTGAATCTTTTTTGCTGTTTAGAATTTTTGAAAATGCATCAACTTTCCAAGTCCTAACTATAAGTAATAGTTATGTTATATTGTCATGTTTAATTTATTACTGTTGTTTATAATTTTTTAAATAAAATGATAAAAGTTAATCAAAATAATTTTATATTCATCAAGTTTTGTAAGATTTTACATTTATTTTGTATCATAAACATACAATATGTATAAAATACTACAATTAAATCATATATTAGTATTAGTATAAATTTAATTGATTAAAAGAAGTTTATACTGTAATGTACCTATATTATTTATAATGGACATATTAGACTGATCCACTATAAACCATGTTAAAAATGATATATTAGTAGATTGATTTTATAAGTCAATTTAGTATTAAATAATTTTGATTGACTGGTAGGTTTATAATATATAACTGTATCTATAGTAAATATTATTATTATATAATACTGTAATTATTTATACCACTTTTACTACCAATTTTAAGTAATTTAAAACCACTATATATATTATGACTGAGTTACATTCAAATATGTGTATGTTTTTCCCAAATTATATTTCATTATTGTTACTTATAATATTTCATAATTTTTTTCTTTCAAATTTTGTATCATGAATGAACATATGAAAATTGGTTTCTATTATTTTTATCAATATCTATAAAGAATATTTTGCCATATTCCAAAATCTGTAATATTTTATAATTTCCATGTATTGGCTAGTCAAAATGTCACTATATATAGTTGTATGTTTTTTTTGTGAATTAATTAATATAAGGGTAAATAATCTTATTGTGTAACATCATTGATTTTTCTATATATTTTTTTTTCATTATATAAAATTATTATTACATTATTTTTAATTTATACTATATTTATATATATTTACTATATATATTTATAACTGTATACTTTTATTTAAAGTATTTTTTTTTTGACTTTCGTTTTTTTAAATGCTTAATTATTTAAATTTCAAGATATATTTTTATAATTGTATTGAAAAACTACTTTCAGTGAAAATATTATAAATTTGATTAGTTCATTATATATATAAGTTTCTCTAATTTGTAAGGCATTTAATTTTTGTTTTAGATACCTAGTATAGAGATTCTTAATCAAAATTTCTAATTATTTCATTGTATAATATATTAACTAAAATTAAAATTATATTAAGTAATATCCTGTTATTTTTATTTTATATCTATCATTAGATATTAAGTAATAAACATACAACTGAATAGAAGACCATATTACCTAATGAATAAATATTGTTATATTATGACTTATTATTTTCATTTAAAATACAGTTATATAAATAAAACTATAGTCATTAAATGTATTAATTTTTTAATAAAATATGAATTATTAATATATAATTTATTTATTTTTAAAATAAATTATGAAATTTAAGTTTATGTGATTAAATTATAAAAAGTTGAAAAATATGTCACGAATTGATATATTTTGATTTGAGGGGCTTTAAAAAAAATGCATTAATTGTATAAATGTTTGTTTTTCCAACTTGATAAGATTTTAAATTTCAAAGAACTAATTCAATATGTATTAGATTATAGTTGATTATTTTATTATTTCATAAGATTAAAATTGAAGTTATTTGTAGTCTTAAAATTAAAACCCTTTGAACTTAAGAAATTAATACTTCAGACATTTCAATACGTTATAATTCAAAATTGTATTTAAATAATGAATATAAATTCTATAATACTAATTTTGTTAATGTCTAAACTACAATAAACTGAATCCATCATCATGAATAATATAGACAAAATATTAATATTGAAGGGATAGTAAAACTTAAATAAAATTGTGTTGAATATGTAACATTAAGCAAATAATTGGTATATTATTTATGTTTACACTAAACATATGTTTTAGTGATACTATTATAATATTCTTGTAATTCAAGGTAATATACTTTACATGAAGTATATGATTTCTTAGGTATTTATCAAGTTGTTAAGAATAAAAAAAAACCCAATTTTGTTAAATGTTTATTAAAAAATGTCTTCCATACTGGAAAAACTAATATACCTAATCAAATATAGTTAATACCATTAATATTGGTAAAATTAAGCTCTTAAAATGAATTGTAACATTTAAATACAAGTATTTTTCTTTGATAAAATAGCACTTGCCACTGATAGCAATTGCGTTGAATTCATGTAATAATATAAATAAAAATAAACTGCAATACCTCGTGTGAATTAAAATTAATAAAAACTGAAGCACCACTCGATTTTAACACGAAGTGTTCATATAACTAACTGACAATGCAGCTTAGTGGTGAAAACTACAGTAGAACCTCATTAGTCTGGACTTCACTTAATCCGGACAGCTGTTTATAATATGTAAGTTACGCTAGTTTATTAGACTATCTAAACTTGTCAATTTAATACGTAAAAGATAACAACGATGAAATAATTATCTGCGTATTATGAGTATCTAAGGCATATTCGCGAGTTAATCATTAAAGAAATCACTGTGAAAGGAAGACAATCAAAGATTAGCAGTTTTTTTTTAAACCAGTAAGCGTGTCAAGTGTGAATAATGAAGGTAAGCCTTACTATGTTCTGTATTATGTACTCTTATGTATTGATTATAATACAATTATGTACTATTTTTTAGATTCAATATTGTTAGACATACATATGTATTAGATTAAAAATTGTATAATAAAATATCCAATACATTTTTTTTTAATTTCTAATTTACGATTTTTGGTTATTTTGTTTAATTCGGACAACCTAGAGCCCCAATTATCCGGATTGATGAAGTTCTTTTGTAATTTGTTTCATCGTCGTGTGTAGGCCTTTTTAAATTATTAGTAATAGATTGTTATTGCTTTGATAAATTATTATCATGATAACAACATTATACAGATTGGTAACCACGAATTTATTCTACACAATTCAAATTGTCAAGTACTCGATTTTTTTTTTAAAGTATTTACTCATTATTATGTTACGAGCACATAATTTTTCGAGTAGTTACTCGAATTTTGAATTTGAATCGACATCAAAAAACAATTCTTGTAAAACGTTATTTAATGAATAAAAAATGTTTACAAATTAAATAGTAAATCAAATGCAATTTACTTTTAAACTTATTTAAATAAAAAAATTGGATACATAAATTAATTTTTACTTAATTAAATATGAACACTTGCATTTTGAGATTAATAATTATATTTCATCACTTATCGAACGGGTAACAAATAATATTCAATTGAACACTTATGCCTAGTTCTGTTTTTGGACGTATTAGGTTTTTAGTAGTAACGCACTAATGAAGAAATCGACGAAAGAACAAAGTGTTTGGTTACCATTCAGTATTCTTATCAAATGTTTTTATCAGGAAAGACCCGTCATCACACGACTCTATTGTTGTCTAAGTTTCTATCACGATGTGGTTTACGTACTGTAGTAAAATGTATTGCTCTCTACATAATTAATTTACGTATTATCTCTGACATCAAAAGCATATGTATTGTGTGATATTGGTTTAACACGTTAATTAATCGCGATACAGTTTACATTTTAATCAAAATGGTACTTCTCGACAAAAGCAAAGTAAGTTTTTTCTTAGCGTACAATTGTTTTTTTTTTTTTTTTTTAAGTGGAAAAAGATGTATTTGTTGAGAAAATCCCCAAACCAATTTTTGTCAATTTTTTTCAAATTTATTTGTAAATCAGCATAAAATTATAAGATATATTAAAGCATTTTTTTTCGATTTTATTTGTAATAAGCTTAAAATCACATTACTGTTCTGTTTCAACTGTCAATATTTATATGGATAGAACCATATTTACATAAGGTACAATTGTAAATTCATTTCTCATTGACTTTCTTTCCGTGTTGTTTCACACTTATGCACCATAACACTATAACATGTTTTATGTCAAAACTTCTTTGATTCCATAGGTATTCTGGTATTGCCTACAAGTATTTCTTTAGTTAGAAAAGGTATTAATTTTAACTTATATTATTATTATTTGTATAATAGTACTAAAAATGTTTCTCCTCATATCTCGTTTACCTTATGAAGTATGTATTTATGTTGCTCATAGTTGCTGTGAGATCTAGAAGACAATACAGTATTCAGTGGTAATAAATCTTTAGCTGTGTAGGACAGTGGTTTTCAACCTGTGGATCACAAAAGATAGTTCAGGGTCCCCAAAAATAATGAAAAATGGTTATTCATATCAAAATATATTAATTTAATCTAATTATTACAAATTTACAATGTGTGTGTAGCGGTAATCTTATTTAATGATAAATTATTAACTATATGGTTACCAATCTTAATTGGATTGGCATTTAATATTTGATTATTTTTATACTTTTACCATATATGTGTATTTTAGTAATTTTAAGCGGTCCATACACGTTCAATCATATAGATCAATATTTGATATTGACATTAATATTGATAGTTTGTGGGTTGTATTGAAGACTTGTTCAATATATCGAAATAATTAAAATTATTTTGATATTGATAAGTAGTCAATATTATTGTGTCATTAAGAGCATTATCAATACTATTGAAAATATTCCATTAGTATATTTCATTAGTTTCTAAATATGTTACCATAACAATTGTGTGTCTTCGAATAAATCATTTAAATCGTATGTTAAAATTACTTTTTTGAATAGAAACGAGGAACAAAACTTTATTTTAGAAAACATTAAAGTTTGCCGAGATCATCTTTTATTATGGGAAGTAAAATGTGATGAGTACATGGATAGAGCTAAGAAAAATTAAGCATATTGTCGGTTAAAAGGCTATTTGCTGTAAGCGACACTTGTTATCAAGATTTGTCAATGTTTTACTGGATCCATAGATAGTTTTTATTATAGTGTATCATAATTTTATAATGTGTTATCGATGATCAAACTATATGCTGTAAGCGACATGTATGAAAAAAGTCTTGTGTAAACAACATTTGATGTCTGTGACTTTTTTATTAATTGAGTGAGCAAATAGTAAGCGATGTAATAATTTTGTTTTATGCGCCCAATTTTTTTTAATAATGACATATGCCATATTGTCGCTTAAATAATTTAATATGTCACTTACAGCATATTTTTTATGTAAACAAATGAGTGATATCTAATAAATAAGAAAAGAAATGCGATAAGTGATAACAATTTTTAGATTAGTTCAATTTAATTTTAATGATTGTGACAGCTGAAAATTTAAAAGCTGATTTATAAAAATTTAAACTTCCAAATAATTTATGATAACAATTATTATTTTTTATATTGATGATAATAAAATAATTATCAAATTTGATTAAGAAAACATAGATCACACAAGGTAACACTATTTAAGAGTTGTTAATTATTAATTTTAATTTTTATTCAAATTAAAAAGAATTTTTTTTATTGTATATTGTTATTTAAATATTTTGTTAATTGTATTGAATGAATTGTATTCTGTTCATTTTTATTTTTAATAAAAATAATAAAAAAAATATTATAATAAATGCTAAAATAATAATGCATTTTATTCAAATTTGTTAAGAAAAAATTTGTTTAAATTAACATATTCGTAATTATGTGGATATGTGTCACTAAATACATTTTTTGGATGGTGTTTTAAGCATTTTTTTAGTAAATTATTTATGCGACAAAAGTACTAGTAAGCAAATTAAAATATGTTCAATACCAAAAATATAATGTAGATACTTACAAAAGAATCAAAAAATTAATATATTCCTATGACAATTAATTTATATTAAAGATTAATATAATAGATAAATGTGAAAAAAATAATTGAAAAATCTTTAAAACTACAATAATTTTACCGTTTTGAAAATAAAAATAAAGACAATATCATTTTTGAGTTCTCCTGAGAAATATGAAATGTGTCACTTACACCAAATAGCCTTTTAACCAACGATGTGATGTTTTATTGAAAAAATATCAATACAATTTATTGGCGGCAACATTGGACAATGTTTAGAGGAAATATAATTTTTTTTTTCACCATGTAACAAGACAAGAATAAAATTTGTGTTTTCTTTGCTAGACATTTTTAATGAAACTGAACAATATATTGATGGATATTATTGACTATTTACATGTCACAAAAATTAATCATTTATTGAAACATTTATTATTCTAAATATTATTCAATATTATTTTCTGTGTGGGCTGCTTTAGTCACAAATATAACATTTAATAATAAGTTTGTTTAAAAAAACATATATAAGAATAGCAGTTTCTAATATAAAATTTAATATGGAAACTATAGTTTTAAAAATTCAAACACATGTTTCCCAATAAAATAAGAAAATTGTTAACATACATTTTCATATTATTTATTTTTGTTTTTAAATTTTTATTAATTTATTTAAGTATATTTAAAAAAAATTCATATCCTTTTATTTATTATTCATAGGGGTCACATTAAAAAAAAATATAAATTGGGTGTTGCAATTTGAAAAAGGTTGAAAACCACTGGTTTAGGACTTTGTCTAGGGTACACTGAAGGAAGCGACTTACCTTTGTACCCTAAATTAGCCATTTATTAATATTAATATTTATGGCATGTTAAATGCTATCTCATATAATTGTTGCATGCCGGTATATGGGTACCGGACAGTGCAACGAGAGATGAGTACACTCAACTGTTCAGCTTCGTAATCAATGTAGAATAATAATAATGTTGAAATAAATAACTCAAGACTTTATAATATTAACTTTATTGAAATATTTCTAAGTCCAATTTATTTAATTTGTAAAATTATTCTAAGTCCAAATAATTGATTTATAAAACAAAATGTTATATGTTTGTATTGTGCTACTCTAATTTATCATATCAATCCTATACCTTATGGACATGCAAACACTTATTATAATTTTTATCTTTTAGTGTAAAATTGTTGATTTTTTATAAAGTGGATTCCGGTGTATTACAAAATTATATAATATATATATATAATAAATATTTAAACCATATAAAAATAAAACGTCTAAATTTTATATCAACTACATTTTTTTGAAATAGTAAATATAAATTACAACTCTGGGTTGGTTCACTTTGATAAGTAGTTCTGGCTCTGTCACTGATCATGTTCAATTATATACATCATACTACTAAATTGACTACTGAACTGACTACTAAACTTTTTACTTTTTATGCATTATACACTATTTAGACGACTCACGTTAGATTATTTATTCAAAACTCAACATATCAATAAATATATAGTCACTCAATATATGGTAATATATAATCACTTAAAATGTAAATGACATAGATTTGATTAATTTTTTAAATAAATAAAATTAAAAACGCAATTTAGTAAATATTTCAATAAACAAGTTTTCTTTTTTTGTATATCTATAAAAAAAGTTTTTAACTTTTGTATTTTTGAAAAAAGGTTTTTTTCACTAGATTTGAGTTTAAAATTTATTCATTTAACTATTAGTTAGTGATGTATTAGCATCTTGTGGTATTTTTAATGTAATTAATTTTTTGTTTGGCAGTTTTTGGAAGAGCTAAATATTTTATTTAATACATCACAGGCATGTGGATCGGTGAGAATAACAATGAAACTATGTAAGTTGCCTATTATTTCATAGATCTGTATAACCTCTATTTATAGATATTCTATTTAATATTTTAATGTTTATTGTATGAAAAATCTGTTAGAAGGTTTCAATATCAATAGGGATCTTAATGTGACTACATATTAAAGTTCAATTAAAATTCGGATATTTTTGTTTTTGTGTCTAGTACTTTTAAATAAAGAGCCGAAAAATTCGAAACAAAAAATTGAAGTACCAAAAGAAAAAATATGTTTGATCAGGGCTTCATTCAAAAACAAAAAATTAAGTACTAGAGTAAGTTCAATTTTTATTCAAAATATAAATTTTCTTTGTAATTCATTAATAATTTTCTAAAAATGTGTTTATTATTTCTGTATGTAGATATCTGCCAATGAAGTAACTTCATTTCAACAAGAATACTGCACATTGTTGAGAAATTCATTAAGTAGTTTGAAAAAGACTAAAAAGTTAAAGAAAAAAGTTATGTCTTAATAAAGTGAAACAAAAGCTTGTGATATTAAAACCTTTTTCTTAAATATAATATTGTATTTTATTGTATTACTTAATCGGTAATATGTTATTTTTATTATTAAAGTAAGATTTTACAAATTGCTTTTTTATTTTAATTTAACATATATGATAGTTCCGAGTGGATTTGGGTGTAATAGTGATGATTATAAAATAAAGTTTAAATATTTAAAAATCAAATTTAAGAGACAGAACAATTAAAATAAAACCGACTAATATTTTATAAACAAGAATTTACAGATAAAAACAAATATTCATGTTAAACTAAATTAACTGCATTAAAAAGAGTTTCAGTTATATATAATAATATAATATTATTATTACATTTGTCATTTAACATTATGAAGTTTGAACCAATAATAATAACAATTATTTTACTATATATTTTAAAATTTAAAATCTTGACATTTTTTATGAATATAGGAATATATTATTCTTATATAAAATTTCGTTCTTCCAAATATTTTATAATATGAAAGACTTAGCTAATAATGGATAAATTGATCCTTTGGTTGACGAATATTAAATGTTTAAAATAATTTATACTAAATTTAAGAAATATATTTGTTGAGAAAATTTAGTGACGAATAATGTGAAATGTCATAATTATTATTACTAAATGTAATAATAATATTATGTATTAAAATTCTGATAACGACGATTTTTAAAGTGTTTGATAAAAATTAAACAATCTTAAGAATATTAGTTTATTTAAATTTATTCATTGTAACGAAATATATCATTCATATTTAGTTACTGCAATACCTCTGTACTTATTTAAGAATATTAATAAATAATTTAACTATTGTTTTATAGTTTTTTTTAATTTCGTGAACATATTGTCTTAATACATTCAATAAATTACTAGAGATTTAATTTTATTCTAAGGGTGTAGGTACTGTATTTGTCTTTGATTAATGTATTCAATCTTAACCTTGATTTTTCAATAATTTTACGTCAGTATTTTAAAAAAATATATTAACCAGTTTAATAAGTGCACTCATTAAATAAAAACAATGTAACAAATTATGACATGCTTTTAATACAAACTCGGTTAAAATGGCTACCAGGCTGCATTAAGGTTTGAAAATGTTAAAAAAAAATGGCAGAATACAACTCATAAAATTAAGATAAACAACACTTATTAGTTATTAATAAATACTAGATTTTTATTCAAAAAAAATTGTTGAATATACACATTTTATTACATCATATACACTATTACAATTTACTATTATTTTCAAATTACAGAAAAAATAATTATTAATCAGTTATTCAAATTCAGAATTAAAAAAAAAAAATATTTTAATTTTGGATGAGTACCAACCTAAAGTTAGAAAATATGATTTTTAATTTTTAAAATCGGAGTTTTTATAGTTACCACATAGCATAGATTAATACTTTAAAATGTCTACGTGACAAGTCACCATTTATGTATAATTAAAACAAGAGATATTTTTAAGTAATAACTTTATAATGTATTTATTTTCGTCACTTATTTCTTGGCTTAATATTTCACAAATTGTTTTAATTTGAGAATATTCTAGATTTTTGGACAATACTTGCGATGGTTAAACTTAAGCAAATTCTATGACTATACTTCCATTTTTTAAATTGATAAAATATTTGAATTAGAACAGGAAAACTACTGATAAAATATTACAATATAACACCAATGTCACTAACAAATAGTATGAAAGTACAATCGTCGCCCAATTTTTTGTAATCTGAATGTTATCACATCGCACTGCCGCCGTGTGTCAAGTTATCTGAACATTAAGCTGTCGATGGGTCTCGGTGGCGACAATTATAGTACTTGAAATAACTTTTACAAGAGTAATTTTAACCTAATCAAGGATTATAAGACGGATGCAAATGTAATAAATTGTTAAAAATAAAAATATAATCATAAAAAAAATTAATTTTATAAATCAAAACACAATTAAATTTTTTTTTCATTTATTATTTGAAAAATATGTATTTTTTATATGATTATATAGAAATATACAATAAATTATCATTATCATTCAAATATGCAAAATATGCAATTCCAAAAATTATCCAAAAAAATCTATACATTGACGATGATATCTGTAATCGAAATTATTCCAGTTGAATTGTAGAATTTTAGAGTATTAAAAAATACTGAAATATGCACTATAATATGACTAAGAAAACTTTAAAATATGTCATAAAAACATAAAAATAAAAAAAGAAATAGAAACCGAAATTTAATTAAATTTATTATCTTTTATTGATAGTTTATTTTATCTTTTGAAATAATATCTATAATATAATCTTATGAATTTATAAATGTATTAAGAAGACTAAAATAACCTTCTTCTTTTAACAATTAAAAAAAAAAAAAAACAAGAATGTGGGAATTTTTCTTATACCTACTTACATAAATTATTAGGTACTATTTTTCATTCAAAATAAACAATATTTATGAAAAATAAAAAATAAAGCATCATATTATTATGCATATTGGCAAAAAATAGGACAAAAGCTTCAAAAATAATACTAAATATCTAAAATACTTCAAATATACAAAAAATAAAAATAATCAAAATATTTAGTTTTTGAAGTTAGCTATCATTTTGCTATCGGTATCTATATTATATATGTAATTGGTAAATTATATAAAATCATAACCGTGGATAGGAACATAAAATACAATGTAAAGGGTTATTTTTTGTGGAATAATTAATTACATAAAAAACAAAAATATAATATTTTAACTATAAGAAAACGTACTATCGTTACATTATACGGATTTTAAATGAACTTTTTTTAAAATTAATAATAAACTGTATGAATTAGCACGATTCAAGTAAAAAAATGGGGAACTCCTAGGTTGGATAGGGCTTCATTGTAGGAAGTGATATATATATATATAGGTTAGTGGTATTGCTGTATTAATCTTTTTAACTTGAAACCAATGTTCCACTACTTTTAAAAAAAACAGTTCTGACTGAAATAGAAAGATATCTATTTGAGTAAATTTATATTTTTAAAGATAGTTAATATCTTATTACCAGGGTTCGGAACTTAAAGCATTTACTTATTTTTATGGATTGACTTAAAATATAGCAGAGTGCTATAGAAGTTTATGTCAAGTTATAACACGTACAATTATGAAATTTGAAAGTGCTTTATTTTGCTTTTTTCAGTAATTTTTAAAAAAAAAAAAAAATGCTTATTTCCAGTTTTTCTGATTATTTTTGCTTATTTGACCAGTTTTTTTTACGTTTTTATAGTTTTCTCCTACGAAGTTGTTTTTGATAGAATTAAAATTAAAATTAATTTTAATCTACGATGTCATGTAGTTCATCATACAAGGTATCGATGTAGGGTTGACAAAGATATTCCAACGTTGAAAATAGAATTGAGTGTCAAACGCCAGAATGATCAAGAACAGAGAGAACAGTTTACTATTTATTTTTCAGAAAAATCCCTTAGAAAATCCTTGAAATATAAAAATCCTTAAAGTCTTGAAAGTGAAGATTTATTTTTATTTTGTTTAATTTTTTAGTTAAAATTTTATAGTTTTTTTTTTTTTTTTTTTATAAATATTTTTGCTTGATTTAAAATTTTTTAAATGCTTATTTTAGTGCTTTTAATGATATTTTTAAGCGCTTATTTTAATGATTTTAAGTGCTATAAGTTCCGAGCCCTGTTTATAACCAATTCTTAATAGAATAAGTTGAATTTTGAATGTTGTAACTTTTGCATAATAAAAACATCTAAAATTTAGGTAAATCGAAAATTTCAAGTAATGACATATAAACAGTACAAAATCATAAAAATATTTTTAAATCATGAAATGATTTTAACTAAATAAACTTAATTGAAATCCGTCAAAATTTCATTTTGTATCATTTATAATTAGTTTACGCGACATTCTAGTATACTTTTTTGTTTTTGATTACCTACAAAGAAAATTTAGCACTCAATTGTGTAGTCTTAAGTAAAAACATTTATCATAATTTTTTGACTACAAAAATGGGTGGATTTTAGTGATTTTTATTGTTTTGTCAAAATTAAATAGTATTTAAACGGTCGTAATTTTTTTATTTTTTTTTTAAATTAAGCTCATTTTTTTTAAAAAAATTTAAAACTGTGATATAGGTATATTAATAACATTTATTATGCTATTGGATTTTTTTTAACCGATATGATTTTTTTTACCTTTCAGTGCAAAGTACACTTCGTTATCATAATAATTATGCACTATATTTTATATTATAACATAGAGATCATATTTTTTTATAACTTGTTAAGCCAATTAAAACTCAACCAAACCAACAATTTTGTTTTTCAGTAGCTTTTTTAATTTTTTTTTCAGTTACTTAGTTGTAAAAAATAGTAGTAAAGTGATTTTTTTTACATAATCGTATTGATCTATGTAATAAAAAGTACTATGTAAGTAGATATATAATACAAAAACTGTTTAAAATCTACCAATATCGGTTGAATATATGTAGGAAGAGCAAAATTGCCATTTCTACTGTCTAATAAAAGTACAAACCAGTTGGTTTTTCGTACACAGTAAGTTATTATTTGTACTATTTTATAGAAACTAAAAATATGAGTACCTACTTATAATTAAGTTTATATTATGTATAAATAAATATGTATAAAACTCTTAATAAATCTGATCTGTATGCAGCATGCTATCCTATGTAAATAATACCACCTTGATATTCAAGCACTTATAAGTTACATCTTCTTAGATAAAGAATGCCTTTTAACGATAATATTTCGATTAGCTTTTATATAAAATGGATAACCTAAAGACGACTAAACTATAGATATTATAATGTAGAGTTTATAATGATTTATGATGTGGTATTTGATATTGTAAATATGAATTGCACAATTCGATGACAAATAATAATGTAAAAGCTATTTATTAGATTATGTTTTTCAAGACCTACCAATTAGATATTGCTTATGAGTACCTCATGCCATGTTTAAACTTAAGTAGGTACCTGATACATTGATCGCTATCTTCAATTAACGTAAGTAAGTAATAAGTAGGTAAACTACCAATATTATATATTAACTTAATTTTATTAACATTCCATCTATAAAATCATTATTTAACAATTTATTCCAATTTATAATGATTTTTTTTTTATACAATTTAACATTAATTTCATTATTTTGTTTTAAACAAATGTAGAAATTATATTTATGTTGAAATTATTTATTTGATCATTCATCTAATTATAAAAATTATTTCTTATAACTTATAATACAATTTTATTATTTATAAACAATCGATTGTTTTGATTTAGTCTAAATTTTGCTACAATAATTTGATAATCAAGTACCTATATTTGCAACAGATATACGAAACCTGCATTTTATCAGGTATACTTAAAAATAATTTTCTATGGAATTTTAACATTTCGAAAACAAGTTTATAGAAGTTATATCTAATCATCACTTTCTCTAATAACGATAGGACAGTAAATATTTATATTTTAATTATTTTTCAGTTTACTTAATTGTTTTATTACTTATATAATAAGTCACATACGAAGTATTAAATTTGTTTGTGTACATTAAAAATCTTTTATATAATAAACTATTTTACAATCATTTTAAAACATTAAAACAATGTTTTAAGTAGACAATAATAATATTGTATATTACCATTTGGAAAAACTAAAAAAAAAAAATTAAATATCAATAAATTAAAGATTATATCTAAATATGTTTGATTGATTTTTATTAAAAGTCATTCTGTCTTCATGTAGGGTTACTTGATATTGTACCAAAATAAAATAAATAAATGAACTTCAAGAAACTTATAGTTAAACTATAGTTCTTTAAAACGAAATTAAACTTCTATAACAATGATTCATAATGATATTAAAAATAAAATAAGTAGGTAAAAATTAATTGTTTTGAAAATTGTTGTGTACAATAATTTTAAATAATTCATGATATGATAGCAGAAAATGTATGCAAACATTTATAATTATAATAATATTCTACCGACTTATTTTAAATATTTATAAAATAGTTAATGTATTTATTTACTTCAACTTAATATGGTTATAGGTACTCTGAAAATCAAAAGCTCATTATATATTCTATATATTTACATTTATTTTTAATTTGCTAGTTCGCCTTGTCCTTATTCCATTTATTTTGTTGATCCATGTCCATGGCCATATTCACTGATGATTTTTAAAACATTTTGCAATACACTAGCAATAGTATTGCAATTCATAATATAACACTGTTTTATATACTCGTATATTCGGGGTAATAATATTTTGTTAGTTTTAGTTACTTTTTAGTTACGACGTTATTATCTGATACATAAGGATTTGATTTGTCAATAAAACGATACAATGACAGACACAACAGTAAAATCGAATATTTTAACATTGACATCGTTCTGGATTTTGGGTCTGTGCAATAATTTTGGATACGTGGTCATGTTGAGCAGTGCGCATGACATTTTAAAATCCAAATCTTCAGTACCGGAAGGAAATGATGTAAGGATTATTTTAATATGTTAATATATAAGCTTGAGAGGATAATATCGAAATTATTGAATCAAATACAGTTATCATATATTGTGTAAATTGAAGAATTTTTAATGTTTTAATGTTTAACACAATTTACCTATTGATTTTACATTGTTATTTTAGTTTTTTTTTTCTTTTTTACAGTGGGAAATAAAAAAAACCACAATTTGTTATTATTTTACTAACCTAGAACATTGTTTATTTTAATTTTACGCTTGATTAATATATTCACGAAAAATAGTATTAAGCGTTATTGACATAAATGCTAACTAACTAACATATATGCTTGTATTTGCAGACTGTAATTTCTAACTCTACTGTAGTAGCGTATGCAAGAGAGTGTAATCATTTATCGACTGGTGTCATACTGTTGGCCGATATTATACCTGGGCTACTAATCAAAACTTTTTCTCCATTTTTCGCATTACATGTCAAGTGAGTATTTTAATAGTATTCTAACAGACTTGAATATACTATAATTTATTATTGCATTACATTTTCATTTAATATATAGTTTTACCTCTACAAAAACTCTCTTGATTTAAGTTTTGATAAGTATATCACATAGTAAACAATTCATTTGTGTATTTTCTTTTTTTTTCAACTTTAACAGCTCTAAAAATAATTATAATTTATTCATAATTTGTTAGAAAATGTATTATTATATCATTTTTATTTTTATAGTCGGAGACTGTCATTATGTATAGGACTAACTGTGGCCAGTTTCATCACTGTAGCGAGAGCGAATACTGAATTAATTGCCGCCATCGGCGTAGCGCTAACGGCTATGGCTTCTGGTCTCGGAGAGTCAACACTCTTATCTTACATGGTCAATTACGAGCGGTAAATATTTATTACTGATCGTTTCTTTGTAGTCCTTGCTAATAATTGATAACTCAAAAAAATATAAGATAACTGCCTCATAGAGTTCCTACGAACGGAATGAACTAAAACAAATATTTTATTTCAATAATTTTCTAAAAATTATTACCGGAAAATATTGATAACTATATTTTACTTCTTTATCTCCTTTTTATTGAAAATTATAAGGAATTGATCATTTTAATAATACATTCTAGATATTTATTAACGAAATTGAATTATTTTATGAGGATATTGATGATTCTTTTTATTTTGATTATCAAATTAAAATTATGAAAATAATAAATCAACAGAAAAAAAGAAAAAATATATTATTTTATTTTTATTTTTTTATAATTCGTAAATTTTACTTCTCATAATATGAGAATCATTTATCATATTATGATGATTGGTATGTATTTAACTCTCAATTTAATGTAATTTTTATTATTGTACTTAATTTTAATATATGTAAAGATAGAGAAATCACTTAATTGCATATACAATTTTAAAGTTTTAACTTAACTCATTCAAACTTCTTATTGCATTTTGCTTATTTAGTATTAACTATTAACAATAAGTGCAAGTAACTTATTCTTTGAAGTAGATATGTTTTAAATATAGTTCATAATAAACTTCTAAATAGAAAATATTTGAAAATAAAAGTAGTTAACTAGATCAATTTATAAAATATACTTATTATTAACTAATAGATACTTTTAAATGAAATAAACTTAGATTTTATTTACAAAATATTTATCTAGAATATTAAAATGTATTTATAAATAAATATATACATATATTATGTATTATGAAGTATAAATGGTTTTTTTTATTTTAAATAGTATTCGGAAAACTCAATTTATTTTTAATATAATCAATTAAAAATTTTTTTATAATTAGTACTATGTACTAATACTAAAAATTATTAATATTAATAGTAATGGTTTGATTATTATTATTTTTTTTTTCTTAAATCTCCGGGATTCTAACATAAAAATCTAGTACGTACTCGTTTAGTTGTATATATAATTTATTCAAATATATTTATTGTACTTTGCAATTATATTACAGAGGTGTTATTACATCTTGGTCGTCTGGAACGGGTGCTGCTGGTATATTGGGAGCGCTGACTTATGCAGGATTAACTGGTTTCTTTAATCTATCTCCGTCTACTACATTATATTTAATGCTTTCAGTACCAGGTCTAATGGGAGTCTCGTATGTATTATTATTAAAAATAGTTCTTAGATATTAAGTGTCGTAATCAATGAATAATTTTAGCAGCGGCGGATTGGCCCACCGGGATACCGGAAAAGTTCCCGATGGGCTGGTAGTCGTATTATAACACTGAGCCGATGCACTCGGATTAGATTTAGATTTTATAAAAATAATGTATTTAATTGTAAGATTATGATAAAAATCTAGTTGAAACGTGATGTAAACAATTCTATGAACATTTAATCCTTGAATAAAAGAGACTTTTATGGAAAATTATTATTATTGGATGGTGGGCTGGTCATATAATAATTTCCCAGGCCGACATTTTTAGCCAATCCGCCGCTAAATTTAAGTGTTGGATATATATTAATTATTAAATATATTTAATATTCAAGATACAATTTCAATAATCTATTATCAATAACAACAACATTGTTAATTATATATTAATTTACTAGTATTAACCATTCACTAATTTTTATTTTTACTAATTATTTTACGATACTTAATTTCATGAATTTAGTATTTTCAATTTAAGTTGTATTAATTTGTTTTTATTTTTAACCACTGCTACTGTCTAATATATTTTCAATTGCATTATTATTAAATCTACCTATGCATTTATATTCTAATACAGTTTTATGTTTTTAAGGTTCTGGGTATTATTAGAACACCCAAACAAAGATGTTACTCAAATAACTCAACATTCATCAGAATCAAATAAACAAAATCAAACTGTTTCTAGTAAAATATCTTACATGCCCCAATTGATGAAATTTATGATTCCTCTAGGACTTGTATACTTCTTTGAGTATTTAATTAATCAGGGATTAGTAAGTTTTAATTAATTCGAGTAAAAATCATATATTATTATACAAAGTATCTATTTTTCAGTTTGAGTTGGTTTATTTTGAAAATATATGGTTAACACATGCAGAACAATATAGATGGTATCAAGTTTTATATCAGTTAGGTGTTTTCATTTCCAGAACTTCAGTGAATTTGTTTCCAATTGAAAAAATTTGGATTTTAACAATATTACAGGTATAATATAATTGTATTCAATATATTTATTTTTACATAAATGATAAATTCGATAGTTTTACTGGATATTTAATTTTATGATATTATTTTAAAGTACGAGTATAGAGTAAAAACTTTTATCTATTTTCGCTTGTAATTATATATTAGAGAAATAACTAAAATTAGTTTATGCAAACCTTACTGTAATTTAAGTCCCGACGAAAACATTCTATTAAACTTCTTATAAAAAAATCTTTGTAATATTTTTATAATTTTTGTTAAAATCAACTGCTAATAACTGAACTTAGCTTGATTACTTAAGTTTAAATTTAAAAATAGTATAGTTTTTCTATTCTATATTAAGTATATATTTACTTACTGAATTTATCATCATGAAAATATTGAAGTATTAATTAAGTATTAAATCATCAAGCTAAATTTAATTTTTATTTATTTATTTATTTATTTATTTATTGAATAAACGGGCGTGAGCCCAGGTTAAAATAATTAGGTGTACAATACAATCAAACAGCAGGAGATTTTAATATTAATTCAAAATTATATCAATTATAAGTTTTAAATTAGGTTTTTTTACACACAGAGTTAAATAAAGTATTTTTATTGGAATGTTACCAATTCGTTGTTGTAATACAATGAGTATGAGTATTGTGAAAATGAAAATGCTTATATAGATAAATTAAGAATATAACTAGAAGATATAATGAGAAACGAATATGTGAGAGGTATTAGTGTTGTGTCTATAGTAGACAAGATGATTTGGGTATGTGATGAGACGAGAGGAAACAAATGCAGTAAGAGTTGTTATGAAAATGAACGTTGAAGGGAAAAAAGGAAGAGGAAAATCAAAAAAGAAACGGTTGAATACGATTAAGAATGATATGAGGCTGTAAGTGTGTGCGTTGATGATGTAGAAAATCGTGGCGAGAGGAGTTCTAGGACAAAGGTAGCCGACCTCAAATAATTGAGATAAAAACGAGTGATAAGAAGAAGACGTTGTTGTAATACAATATTTTAAGAACCAAAGCAATTTGCATTAGTAATATTTTAAAATTAAGTGGCATTTTTAAGATCAATTTCCTTTAGTTATTTTATTAAATAAGATACCTAATTTTGCTAATTTATTAGATTTAACAATAATGATAACTTTATTCAATAATAAGATTTCAACTTTTATTTAATTTTCCCCATTAAAGTATAATATATATCTTTCTGTAATACCTCATCTGTCTTTAATCATACCATTACAAGTTTATACGCGTTGTATTGTCTATGTGTGAATTTGGGATTTACCCGTTTCCACCAATTTATAAAAATGTATGATTCCCGTGGGTACGTTATGATTGCGTATAAATCTCTTTTACTATTACAATTGCATACATTCTGTCTATCCAAACTTAATGCAACTTTGCCGTTGTTCACAACCCTGAAAATTTGTAATATAACTTATATTAAGAAATGAATGTTTATATTTGATAGTTTCATAAACGTTACTGTGACTATTATTTCCCAAACAATAATTTTCGATAGTCTATAAAGCACTATAAAATAATATTAAACTCCGATTATTATATTGGATTTCTTGGCGTATCGCTCTTTAGTATCATTATATTAGTATAAGACCAACTTTCATTCGATAAGTTACTGGTATTAATGTTAAGGAGTAATAGTGCAATATTATAGTGGTACTAATTAATATCTTATTTAACCATGATCAATGAATTAAAAGTTATATCAACACTTGTGAAAGAATTGGCCGTAGTTTCTTCACATAAATATCGTTTTATAAGACAACGCAAAAATGAATTTTTAAATGGTTATGTTCTAAAAAATGTCAACATTTTAACTGATGTCAACAAATCCCAAGTTTTAATTTATAACTTATAATTTACAATTTTATTGTATTCTCTGTATATATATATATATATATTTTTTTTTTTTAATTGACTATAATATTGATATTGTTGTTGTTCTTCTTCTTTTTCTCTTTCGCCTTTCTCCCAACTCTTTGGGGTTGAGCACCCTTGTCCTAAACCTCCACTCTCGATTTTCTATATCCCCTATGTACACACCAACGGTTTTCATATCATTAAATTGAATCCAACCATCTTTTTTTTGTTCTTCCCTTTCCTCTTTTCCCTTCAACGTTCATTTCATAACAAATCTTACTGAATTTGTTTCCTTTCGTGTCACCACATGCCCGAATCATCTTATCCATTATAGATGCCACATCAATACCTCTCATATTCGTTCCTTATTATATATTTTCTTGTCACTCCACTCAACCATCTAAGTATTCTAGTTTCAATTGAACTGATAAAAAAAAAAAAAAAAAAAAAAAAAATGTAATTTAAATAATTAAAAATATGTCAATCCGTAATATTACATATAAATATAAAATTTTTCTTATTTTCAGGGATTTAACGTTATATTATTTTTGATTGAAGCACTTTACTCATTCATACCAAATATATATATAATATTTGCAATAATTGTATTCGAAGGCTTGTTAGGAGGAGGAGCATATGCCAACTCATATCACAATATTATGAAAAAAGTACATAATTGTTTTTTATTTAATTCATGTATTGTATTCACATAATAATATAATTAAATACGAAACATTTTATTTAATCGTAGGTACCAAAAGATAAACAGGAGTTCTCGATGGCAATGACTTCATTCGCAGATTCCATAGGTGTTTCATTAGCTGGAGTGCTCGCGATTCCATTACATAATAGAATTTGTCTTTTACCAAAATGAGACTATATTAATTAATTTTATCTATAAATAATTCCTATACATAATTAAGAAAATTAGCTTATATTTTGTATTAAATTATTTAAGTATAAAATGTATTATATATTATTAGGGTTGCCATATTTTGAAATCCCTAAACCGGGACATTATATTGAATGACCCTTTTTTTTTTTTTTTTTTTATTTGGAAACAAAAATAAATGTATCATTTTGTAATTTAAATTATTATAATTTATTAGCAAATACAAAAATACATTATTATTATATATAACCAAGATGATTAGATAACTATAATATAATGTTATAATATACAATATTATTCTACGTTTTATTATTAAATAATAAAATATTAAATGTTATTTTATCTCAGCTTCTATTAACCGGGACGATCTAAATGATCGACCAGGACACCAGGACATGCCTTTAAAACTGGGACTATCCTGGTAAAATCTAGATGAATGGCAAGCCTATATATTATAATAATAATTTAAAATGTACTTACATTTATTTAAATTATTTTAAATTTTTTTTTTTTTTTTTGATTATTTATTATGTCTTGTTTGATTCTTCAATGTTTGTTTGAATATTATCTGTTTCAATATAAATATATATTAATATATTTATTTTAAGTGCATAATTTTATTTACAGAAAATGTATTTATTAAGAAAATGAGAGTGTGTTAATAATAATTATTAATATATCAATAAATAAACAAATATCATATTTTATATGTATAGAAATAAATAAATAAAAGCTTAGCTTGGAGTATTATTATATTTTTAAATTAAAACTAGTTTTGAATTAAAAATTTATTATCAGATTACAAAGTTAATAAAGTCACGACTAAATATGAAAAAATAAAGGAAGGAATATATTGAGAAAAATTAGTCGTTTTATATAGAGATAATTTATTTTAATAGGATAAATTATCTCTATATATTCCTTTATTTTTTCATATTCAGTCGCAATTTTATTTACTTGGTATGTATATATATATATATATAATAATGAATTTTTAATTAGAAACTGTTCGTACTTTACAAATATATGATAGTAATACTACAGCCTATGCTTTCTTTTATTTATTTATTTATTTCTATACAAATTTACGATTATTAACAATTTATTAATTTTTTATTATTTTATTGTGTATTTTTAATTGCAATAGTTTTATAGAAAATGATATATTGCTGACTTATTACAATTGTATTTTTAACTTACAAACTGGCATGTTGACTTTCGCTCTATACAAAATATTTGCTCTTTGACTAACTACGATGTCAATTGCTCGTTCATCTGATCCACCATATGTACAAAATGTAACAAATGTTTCACAATAAATCTCTTTATCCGGAACAATTATTGGCATCTGGTGTAAAAGTATTAGAACAGTAATGCAACTCTATAAATCTTTAGAAATGTGTTAAATGTGAATACTTACACTGCAGCTTGGTGATTCTATAGTGTGATATTGAGCGTTGTATAAAAATGCTACGTTTATTCCAATTAAAGGTTCTTTACTGAGGTTTTTTAAAAAAAAACGTATTTTGAAACGTGGTCCTAAACCTAAAAGCTGAAATTTAAATTTACTAACGTCAGCATGTATAATGTATTTAATATATATTGTTCTACTTGAGCTGATGTATGTAAAAATTGATTGGTGATTTTTTGTTTTATCGAATTGATTCGTTCATTCAGCACTATAATTTGTAATGTTTGCCACGTTTGTTGAGTTCGTACATGCATTTCTAAAAGAATAAAGTTTTAAACTTTAACCATAATAGATGCTCAAATATAAAGGGTATTAGATTTTTTTCAATTACCATTACAATGCTCTCTTTCACGCAATGTTTGTTCTATGAACACGTTACTTCTTTTTGGTATGCTCAAATTACCAGGAGTAGGTGCGGTTAACGTTGGGCGAGCACATAAGTCAAACGTCGCAGTCCGTTTCAAAAGTTTTATGTCCACTTTACTTTCTAAGAATATATTTCAGTAGTTGGTGTTAATACGAGTACATTATATTATTTTTCTATACAATTAACTACTATAATACGACGGTTAGTTTCTTACTAGAAGAAATCATTATTAGAGCATTTTCCTCCTGGCCAAATTTTCCAAACATAATACAAGTCACGGGATCAGGCATCAAGATTTTGTGAACAATCGTGGAGCCGGAGAACATAAGAATTAATCCCTTCGTAAGTCCGTCTACATTGGATGTAATGCACGATACTATAGTAAATTCAAGTGACATACTTTTTACGTACATGTTGGTCATGCATGTAGGATCACCCGGCAATTTTACGTTCCATAACGATACACACTACATAGTTTATATACATAACACAATGTTTGAAAAATTATTGTGGTTGGCTATGCATGTGTGCGGTTAATGGTTAATCTTACTTTCAACGTGTAGCATTGCAATAAGCCATCTATGGTACAACAAATGAATTTGTCTATTCGCAGTATGACAGCCACAATGGCATGCGTAACTTCTACTTTGTAACCGCTTGTTGAGGATTTTGAAAAAATATATAACCGGCCCGTCCTTGTGGCAACAAGTATTTTATAATCAACATTGTACAATCCAATAGCACACATATACGCTGTTTCGCCCTGTAACTATATATTAAAAATACTTATAATAATATTATTAATCAATAATAATTTATATGAATAAAAAATTAGTCATCTACATTTTAAATACAAATTAATACCATATACAATACTACACCTCATATTTATCAGGCAAAATTTTAAACGATTCTGTATCAAGTATGCTTATTTTATCAGTAGTTGCTATTACTAGACAACTAACTCCATGCACGTCAGCCAGGTTTCTTTTCAACTCAGTGACGCAAGTTATCGTGTGCTATAATATTCATATAAGATAAAAGTCAAAGATGGTTTTATTTATGTCGGTAGTAATGTACTTACTTGTTTCATTAGTTTATTTTTTTTATGCTTTAAAAAATATTCTTCGATGTAGCATTCATTCAAACATAGCATTTGTTGCGACGTTGTTGAAAGGTTCACAAATCCAATAGTAGAAGATAACACTTGTAAATGTTTTAGCAAATCAAATGCGCCTTCAGTCTCCTGCCATAATTTACATTCTTCGGTATCTTTTAGAGTTGTCGAATGAATCGAGTACTTATGATATGGTTTACAATTTCGATAAAAATAAATCTCATTTTTAATGACTACAGCTATACCTGAGAATATTTTTAAGTGCAAAAATGCTCACATAAATAAGTGAATGTAATTTCATTGTAAATTACTCTATACCTAACTATTTGTTCGAAGAGTTCAAAAAATATTTATTATTTGAAACTATTATAACAGCTCGATAATTTATTTAATTATAATTATCACATACGTAAGGAAACACAATAAGATATTTTTATAATATTTGAAAATAATGTCTTACATGGGATATGTTGATCACTATTATCTGTATACACGGTTACAATCGCTGAAGGTTTTTCATTTAAATGAATAATGTGCGTTTGCTTTAAACCTTTAAAAATCTTATGCAATTTATAGTTAATATATTTGGTGCATATATTCATACATTTCTTACTAATATTTGAAAATTTTTACTTTTATTTGAGGGCTTGATGATCCCGATCCGAAATCAACGACGACAAATTTATTATCATTGTCTCCGTGTACATCAGTCAGCGTCATACAACAGTTATAAGTTTGCAAATTTATTGGAGAGTTTATGTCTACATCTATCCACATGGAATTCCTGTTAAAAAATGTTATATGTAGTAGTATTAAAATCAAATTAAATACATTTGATATTTACATTATATTATTTGTTTCTGGTTGGTTTTTTTTTTTTTAATAATAATAATAATGAAACAGAATTTATATAATATACATCGATCGACTAAGATTGCATACAGTTAAATATAATACATAAATTTCATTTATATTTAATCATTTAATGCGCGTTTTGCCAGTAACTAGATTTTGTTGTCTATGATAACCCTTGTCTTAATAATTTTAGTGTTGTATATTTGGTTGCTTAGCAATAACGCCATTACGCCGGTTATGTCCATCATGTATATTATGTATGTAGTATGTATGTATCATATCCGTATACGATCAGTTAAATATTTTTTACTTTTATGTATTCATTTAATTATGTAAAATATAACTATATTCGTATTTAGGTATATACTAGATATAAGATAAATAAACTTTAGTTGGCAGTAAAATCCAAAATAATATGTTAACTTTTTCTGATATATTTTAACTTTTTTTTACTTATTATTAATTTTTTTTATTAGTATAATATTAGCATATATTAGCATTAATAATTTTAATTCAAAATATTTATATTATTAATAATAAAACCAAATTCCAAAGTTTGAACTTAAAAGTGACCAAGAAACCATAACTTTAAACGTTGAACAGTAAGTAAGCAAAACATAAATTGGAAAAATTTAAGTCAATTTTTAACCGCTAATTGAAGTCTACTTTGTGATGTATAGTAAGAGTTACGAAATACTACAATATTAATTTCACATGGTAAATTTCAAATAGATCACATTTGATTATATCGAATGCGAGTTACATTTATAACAGCATAATAATAATAACATAATTATAACAGCTAACTAACCCTAACGTTACTGGCTTTAATGTTAACCCCACATCACACAATAAAACGTTCATGTTACATCTTATACACTGCATTTTGTATACTGGACAACGTAATGAACTTAGTAGAGATGAAAAGAAAAGGATCCAAACTAAAATATTTCGCCATGAAATGGTTTGAAATTAAAGACATTAAATATTGATTGCAAGAACTACCAAATAATAAAACTAATTGTAAATGTAAGGTTTGTAATAGTATCCTGGTATGCGGGAAGAATATCTTGAAAAATAAAACCTTGGGAAAAGCACATATTAAATATGAAAGGCCCAAGAGGGTCAAAAAGTAAGAAATTGTTCATTCAAAATCCGAAGTTTGACGTGAAATAAAAAAATTTAAACCGATGTGAAGAGCGCAGAAAATAAACTATCAGCATTTTTCGGAAATGCCTACGGGGCGCAATTAACGGTCGGTGTTTGGCGCGGTCCCCCCCCCCCCCCCCCCCCCCCCCCCCTCCCCCCCGAGTCCACGAAGAAATCGTTCCTACGCTTGTCTGGTCACCGAACAAGGAAAAACGTGCACGTAGTGTATTTATTTGTGTGTTTTTTTTCTTTTTTCGTCCGCGGGTTGACGTAACGAAAAACGGAACGAGCGTACGAACGCGATCGACTGTGCAAATGTTCCGCGTGCGACGACCACGCTCAAGTCGCAAGAAAAACAAACAATGCGCGACAACGGTACGATAAACACGCGCTCATCATCGTTATCTCGGCGATTGTACGCGGCGGCGGCGGCGGCGTACGAGCAACGTTCGCCGCCGACAACGACACGTCGCGCAGTTCGGGTGACGTTGCGACGCGTGCAAGGTACCGCTGCACGCCTAACCTACCTGTTCGCGTCGCACAACGGAAAAACACATCGCATGGGTACCGGCGACGACGGCCGCACGACGGTCGTCCGGTTGACGCTCAGCGGTCTCGCGTTCGTCTCGTCCGCCGCGGCCGCGTGCTGCTTCCTGACAGTCTGGTCGTACTGGTACCGCGAGCTGGACGCCGACTGCGCGGACGCTTACGACTGCACGTGCCTGCTGTTCGGCTCCAGCCTGGCCAACGGGTTCGTCGGCGGTGACCGGTCCGTGTGCCGGTACGTGTTCTACTCGATGGCCGCGTCCGCGGCACTCGCCGCCTACGCATCCGCGTACTACGGCTGCAAGTCGCTGCTGTGCCGCCGTACGGGCCACCGACCCGTGCCGTCCGCTCGGCCACCGGAAACCAGGTACGCATTGGGCGGCGCGTAACCGTCACCCCGAAGCGTGTCGCTCACCCGGCGCGTTTACGATCGCGGGCCCGTTACGCGCGACATTTCCGACGAAAAACCACAGGTGACTGGCGAACGCCTCGAATAAGTCAACAGGCGAAACGTTTTTACGGGTATTTTTTTCGTACGGGAAATCTTCGAAACGTAATTGTACTCGACGAAATATGTTTAGTCCAAGTTCAAAACCATGCGCACAATTACGGGTGTTAATGTACTATTTACTTGGAATATAAACGTTTTGAACAAATCATTCGTAAACAGTCGATATGATCGTGCTAAAGGGTTTCGACGGAAATGCGTTAACAGTCGTGTGTATACATTACATATTATTGTGCTTAAAGTTCATGATTTTTTTAGTCCACAGATAACCGGCTCGACGGTATGCCTTACAATTATACTTGTCCTAATGGCATTAAATATGTTAATTACGTCCATCGTGCTAAGCAATGGATATATTTCAACATGTTCGCAATATGTACATCGAGTAAAAAGTTTTTTAATGGTAAATATTTAACAAATTTAATGTGATTTGTTATTAATTATTATAATATTACTAAAAATCAAGTATTGTATTACACTAGGATTTTGTTCCACATGAATAGGTAATGTTTTATTTCTCTTACGACTTGAATTAATTCTTGAGAATATTTGTATTATAAAATTGTTGTTGTTTTTTTTTAAGAATATTGGTGTACTAGTGGCAAATAGGACACTTAAAATATTTTAGCATAATTACATGAGTCATGATTTATGACAATACGGAAGAATAGCGTCATACAGGCGGTTGCAACATCCCTTCCTTTTCTAACTAAATATTTAAACAATATTAATATTATCAAATATTTACAAATAAAGTACAATAATTACATAAAATTAAAATTTATAGATTAACTGAAATCCTAGTATGTATATTTGTAAATAAATAAATTATATACATTTCACATCTTATATGACATGATATTGATAAACTGCCAAAAAAATATAGCTTATTTATAATAATCTGTTTATTTTTTTTTATATAACCTAAATAACTTAATATTAATTATTTTAATAATTTGTTTTAAAATTATGTTTTATAATGTAGCATTTGAAATTTTTTTTTTTTTCGAAGTGGGAATACTAAAAATCATTAGATATATATAATTGTGCATTAATATTTGCAAATATTTATTTAATAGTAATACATTAAACATGATAATAGGTAAAACACATTAAATTAATATCTAGGTGGGAGGGGGTTTAGATTGTACATTTTCATAATTATACAATCTATATACTAATTTTACTATATAAAAACATATTTAATTATTTTCCTGAATTTCGGGAGGGATTTGAACCCTTAAAACTCCCCTTATGCATGCTTCTGTATCAAGTTAATGATAATTTAGTATAAATCTATATGGAATTAAGATCAATGAACAATTTTTTTTAGGTAACCGGGAATATGGTAGAATTGGTATCAAATCGTATGTCATGTGCAACTATCTATGATTTTATGGATTATTTACAGCCTCCATCACAACAATTAACTTATGAACTGCTTCATCGACACAAGATTAATCCACGAGATAATATTATTAATACGTCAACATTATTAATAACATCTATTTTATTGTCTTGGTTGAATACATCAGTATGGATTATATTTATATTTTTTATTTATTTTTTTAGGTATAGAAATAAGAATTAAGGAACAATTTTGATTATTAAGTATACAATTAAATTCAGTGGCATAGCCAGAAAAATATTTGGGTGTTAAATTTCTAATTTTCTCCTACATAAGTAGGTACTAACTTTTTGGTTATTCGATTATTCGATTAAATAAAAGATAAAATATAAAATGTGTTATTATTTAGTTTATTGAAATTTTGAAAATTGTTTAATGATATAACATTATACCTATGTCTTAAAATTATGATATATTTTACAAAATAAGAGAGACATTTAGGGGAGGGGGTGAGTTATAACTCATTAACTTCCTAACATGCAGATAAATGTACGCCACTGATTGAATTTATTGAATTGATATTTATTGTAAATTAATTCAAAAAATTTAATTTTAAGTACATTTTAATAAATTGAACAATTATAAATAAATTTATGGATTTCATAATATTGCCCTTAATTTAAATAATTGTAGAGAAAAAAACCATGATAATTCACCCTTAAAATTTAAAACTGATAATTATCATTAAAATATCTTTTGTGAGGGCCTTTTTCATTGCATTTAAATCGGCTATCTATCCATTATAAAATAAATATTGTATGCTGAACGGAATGTAAATATCAATAAACCTATGCTTAATTTTTAAGTTTTTATTTAACTGTATATAATTACTCATAAATGCAAAGTATCACTACCCATCTCATTTAGTGGTTTTTGCAAGTTACTTACCATAAGAGCTGTTTTAAGATTGATTTTAATTGGGTAAATTTTATTTAAACTCTTGCAATTATAACCCTGTAGCGAGGTCACGACCCCACTTTAGTTGACATCTTATTGTATAAGTACGTGGTCAACTGAATGGATACCAGTATGCATAACATTACTAACGCAATTAATAAAATATGAGGGCCGATCGGCAGTAATATGAAAAACAGCACCCGTTCGGTCCTAGATTCAAACGAAATTTTTTTTTTTTTAATTTATCGGTTAACAATTCAAATAGTTATTGTGAACATTTAAGAAAAATAAAAGAAAAACATGAATATAATATCAATTTTTCTATTATTGTTTGTACTTACTACCAGTTTTTATATTATACAGCTATAAAATGAAATTAAAATTAAAATATTATATTCGTATATAGATAATTTAGTATAGAGCAGTGGTTCTCAACCGGAGTGACATGTTACTCAAGAACGACATGGATGCAATGTAGGGGTGACACGAAATCTCCACGGGAAAAGGAAAAATATAAGAAAATAATTAATTTTAATAAAATCATATTATTACCACAACAGCCATGTAAATAGCATACCTTTAATTTTTAATCTTTATATTATTTATGTTTATTATTTAGATCCAATAAACACATGCAGTATTGTTATTAACGCAAAATCGCTGCATTATCGATTATTTCATCGACTTAACCGGGGTCGTTAGTCAGTTATTTTACAGTCGCTAGATATATAGTATAATTATTTACAAACAAAATAAATAACAAATATACAAATCATTAATATTTTTTCTCTCTCTTTTTTTTTTAATTTTAAAATTTTAACTTTATCATATTTATGTTTATTAAACCCTACAACTCAATCAATTGTAGGTGTACTTATTATTTTTCTGTTTTTTTTTTTTTTTTTGTTATTTCAAGAACTGTTCTAAAATACATAGTTAAGATTAGGTATTTATTATTTTGATGTTAGAGTGACGCGGTGTTTGATTCTAGTGGCTAAAGGTGACATGAATGAGAAAAGGATAAGAATCACTGATCTAGAGGAACATCAATTTATCATGAAGACAATAATAATTTTAATTTTAAACACTTGCAGCTACAAGATATTGACCTCCAAAAAGCATTAGACAGATTAAATGACGCATAGATAATTGTATGCAACTTCTAATAAATGACTACAGTAATATTGTTGAAAGTGCAAATAACCTGGCGCTTAATGGGGTATTCCAATAGATGATAAAACAACTCGTAAAAAAAAAAAAAATCAAGATTGTTTTTTGATGAAGTAGACGGTGATTGAAATATTAATATTACACAATAAAATTTTAAAATAAAAGTATTTTTATCCATTATTGACACAGTATTATGTCAACCTAAATATCATTTTAAAGATTTACATAGTGTTTATAGTATTTGAAATTTGTTGAGACGTCAGTCAATCTTAGGACCAAATTAAATTTCTGTTAAAGGATCATACGACTTCATACGAATGTTTAAATCAGATATTAGTTCTGATTTTACAAGTCAATTTCTAACAATTAAAAAAAATTATTAAAAATAAAAATATAAACAGTATACGAGTACTATATATATTTATTCTTGAAAATTAATTCGCTACAAGTTATTCTGATGTATTAGGAACAAGTTTATATATTTAACATAACCAGTAACTCTTGCAACAGCAGTAAGATCATTATTAAAGCTTAAAATTATTAAAAACTATTTGAGGAACTGGGAAAGAAGGTTATCCAATATTTCTATATTAAATATAAAATACCACCACTATTTAAGAGATATAGAAGTAGAAAAAATGATATAAAATTTTTCAACTATGAAGGTTAGTAGAATGAAATTTGATTAAACGTCAAATGTATTATTATTATAGTTTTTTTATAATTAAATTTAATTAATTAAATCAATTTTTTATAATTTCATAATTTTTTAAAAAAAATAACTTATTATTATTTATTACGTTCCCTGGTGTTTGATTTAAAATGTATATGATATTCTCTTAATTCTTATTTGTTTCAATATTCGATAATTATACTAATGTGACCTCTAGATTAGAATCTCTGTAATAAATATTTTGATCTTAGTTTACCTGTGTTAATAATTGTAAATATTTTATAATTAAATTAGTACAGTTATGACTTTAAAAAAATGTTATTTATTTATTTTTTATTTATCTATGGTTATATAACTAACAACGTAACATAACTTACCTAACTACATAAGGCATACTTTTATTAACATAAAAATTGTCAGTATCATTATAGCAGAATTTTATGTGTAAAGGCCCATGATTTTATTTTGTCCTTTAAAAACTTAATTGCGGCACTGACATCCCCTACGCACCATCAACAACTCTCATATAATTGAATATTATTGTTTGGGCCAGGTTCGACAAATAGTATGACGCATACCCGGACATCGACTTCTACGTATCGCCAGTGTTGGGAATAGATAATGAAAAATTTATCTAGATAAAGATAATAAATAAAAAAATTAAAATATCTAGATAAAGATAAAAGATAATTTAATTTTTATCTAGATAAAAAAATGATATTTTCAAAAAATGTTATTTTTTGGTCAATATTTCAAATTCTAATGATATCTATGAAAACTCAATTATAATCATTATTATCAACAGGTACCTAGGCGATTAATGTTTATTGTAGTAATGTAGGTAGTGTACCAATCAGTAGTTTTAATATATAATGTACAATATTTAATGATAGTTAGTCACTAAAATGTTACACAAAAAAAAAAAATGAAATTTGTTCTGTACGTATCAAGATGAATACAGAATACATAAAAAAATATTTTAAGTTAATAATATTGTTTTCCATATTATTTAATTTGATGATTTTCATCATTCTATAAGTAGATACGACTTTACGGGTTCCAAGAGGGAATTAATGACTATTCAGCGTATGAGTGACATATTTATATTAAAATCAAATACCTATTATATTTTGAACTTCCGTGGAAAAATAAGAAATTAAGTTTAAAAATACCAAAAATATTTACCCGACATGAAAATTCAAACAAAATGTCATACCAAAAAATAATAATTACTTATTAATAATACACGAATTATGATTATGAATACAAAATCTATATGTATAAAAGAAAGTCAGGTTATTTACAGAAGTTATAATTCAAGAACGGCTGGACCGATTTTGTTGATCTCTGATTTGTTGGATTCGTCTCCGTACAAGAATAAAAATAACTCTAATCTTGGCAAGAATACAGACAATTATCTAGATAAGTACATTTTATCTTAGTAAAGTAATTAGATAACTTAGCGTTATTTATCTAGATAAGATAAAAGATGACAAAAAATTCTATCTAGATAACTTATCTAGATAAGTCCCAACACTGCGTGTCGCACACCACTGACCAACCAAATGTTTTGGTGTATAGTAAAGTTTGGTATGTTACCTCAACTAATACTGGTTAGGTTCGCCGCGCAACTATTAGTGAGCTACGTGGTGTTAAAATGTGTCAGGTGTGTATATTATGTGTGTGACTTAAAACTATGGAAAAAAGGTAATTAATAAATTAATAATAACTCAATATTGGTATAATTTCAACATGTACACAGTATAAATATAATTATCGGCGCTTCTGACCTAACAACAATCAATCGTAAATATATAAATATGGTGTCCTTTTGGCACAATAATAAAAATATAGAAAAAACCAAATAACAAAAATGTAAAAAATAATATTAATAAATTAAACTTACAATTTATGGAGCGCAGACTGGCCAGTTACAGTTACAGCTACTTGAAAACGATGTATAAATTATACACAAATAGTCAAGGCGATTTGCGCACGTGTATTAAATAAAACAATAACGGCGATCAACGCACGTAATAAATAATAAATATGTTCGCGGTGATTTACAGGACATGGGCCAATTGCGCCAAAAAATTATTTTTTTGTTTAGGGTCAACGTACCAATCGCGTTCCATATATTTTACGGTCAATATACCGATTGTGCTATTCAAATTTGCTTACCTTCAGATATGAAAATATTGTTAATAAAATTGATTTATTATTGTAAAAACGTTTAAATGTGAATTATGATGTAACTGGTTTAACTTTAAATTTGAATTTATTTATAACCGAACAAAAATTGGTTGTGTGTTTATTTATCATATGATTATAAATAACTAATAAGTTTTCCTTGAGTATTGTAAAATGTTTGGAGCGCAATTGGTACATGAAAATTCTATTTAAGGTCATAGTACAAATAATTTTAAAAAATGTATGATTTATGGCATAACTTTAAAACATAATATTTTTTTTTCTTGACGCTTTTTATAATTCATCGAGTATAGGAAATTCATCAGATTTATCTGGGTACCTTAATACCTACTTTAAACATAGATAAATTTAATTCATCTGACAATGAGTTTGTTTAAAATAATTAGTTATATCATTATCATTCAAACTTAGTTTACTAACTTGGTTTTCTTCTCTGTTGTTTTCAATGTGTGTAACAGAATTTGAAATATTACGTTCGTCTTCGCTCATTTCCTTATTCTTTTTCTCAAAAATTTGTCAGAGTAGTGTTTTTTAGTTTTATTTTCCTGTCACTCATATTGAATAAAAATGAATTTCGTTTATAATAATAAATAATTTTATAGATAGTAAAATATTGAACACAAAACGTCTCAGAACGAGAGTTCAAAATAAAATAAAATTCAAATAGGTATTCATGTTCATTAGTCTAATCGTCGATCGGTTGTTTGTATATTTAGATAGGTAGGTACCTATATATTTATCTTTATGTCGAATCGTATGGCCCAAAGTATATGGCAATATTACGATAATCTACGTATCTATCATACACGCACACGTAAAAATGTAACATGAAACAACAACAATTATTTTAAGGCATAAATGATTAATAACATTTATTTAATATTTAATAAAATAAATCATTACTCATATTTTAGATATGAAAGGGGATTAAACCCCTACTCCCCCCATTGGTGCGATGGTATTCAGAAAAATTGTATGTCTCTATGATTATTATATTTTATGTTATTATTAAAACAAATATTTGAATTAGTTGATTACCGATACCTGGTATATACGGTACTTACGACTTAAATGTTGTCTTTTTTTTTTGAATTATTAAAAAAATATTTAATGTATAATTTATCAATTTGTTGATTGTATACATATTGATATTTAAACAGTTTATTCATATTTTTATTTTGTTTTTTTACGTGTTTTTATAAAAATCTAATAATTAATTATAATGCGTAGGTAAGCATAGTGTAGTAGGCTCAGTTGATACGAAATCAATTTTATGTTACCGGATATCTATGGTGTAGGTGTATACAATTGATATTTAACAATTTTAATGCACATCTTAAATTTATCCATTTTGTTTGTATACTTTTTTAGGATTTTTTTTATCATATAGGTAGATATTTGTTTGACATATGAGGGCGTTCCACTTTGACAAGCGACTGCTGTTTTGTTATCATTGTTATTATCATTATTTGCTATCGTACACAATTAAATCGTCTGGATTTAATGATGTATACTAATGCAGATTAATAATACTATACAGTGCCGGTGATTGATCCACAAGATTGGCTTTGTTTTCCGCGACAAATGTGGCTTTTGTAAACCGAAGGTAGTTTCTATGTGGGTGTTTCGCCAACGATGCTCGTCATTTGATAATTTTATTTGAGTTCCATTTTTGCATAGGATTGCTATTATATCATCGCTTGCAAGCACCGTGGTATACTTTGCGTTGGAAACAATTGATTTGCTTCATAATTTTAAAGCGCACAATAGTGAGTGATCTATACGCCTGTTAACATATAATAGATTAGTTTCGTTGTAGATTTGGTATTCGAAGTGTCATGTCGGACACGGATTCTATCAAAACCGATAGGTCGCAGCCAGACTTGCAACAGAAGTATGACAAGCTTGCCATGGAGTTTGCAAAAGTAAGTTATTATATTCATAGTTGTACAACCTATTGAATTTTAAAACATCCGACCTGGTTTATCCTTATGGTTGCTGGGAATTAAATTATTTTATTTGTCTAAAGACTGTTGGCATTTTATTTGAACATTTACTCATCATTTTTTGAAATGTATCAAATGATAAATCATAGCAGAATTATCTATAGATATAATATGTTAATAACATGAATTAATGAAACATAGTTATGGTTATTTTTTAAAATTAAGACAATGTATTATGTATTTATAGGCCAGAATGCAGTTGAATGTATTGAAAAAAGCTTACACTGCAAAAACATCAAATTTAGATCAAAGAAGTTATGAATCTTTGGACCAAGTAATTTGTATATACTATACTAGTTATTTGAACATAATAAAATACTTAAATTTTAGTTTGAAAACTGCAAATATGACACTATGTATACAAATAGTTTAGAAGTGAAAGAAGATTTTAATAAAACAAATCAATTAAATTCTAAAGTTTGTATGATTTTTTTAAATAAATTTGAAGTTATTATTTTGATTATTACAATTAGTAATCTTACTTATTATATATTACTAATTAAATATTTATATTATTATTATTATTATTTTTTTTTTTTTGAAAGTTACTATAGCAGAATTAGATTTTTATTTATTTTTTCAACTCGTAGAAAAATTAAAAAAATGTTTGTATATTTATTATTATAATTTTTTACATAATATTTAAATGAGGACAGTTTGAATTTTATTTTTATTTTTATTGCAAAATGTATGAAATAAAATTATTTTATTAGATTTTAATTTCTGAAATAATTATTCACAATTTTATTTTAGTGATTAGACATTTATAAATTTTTGTATTTATTTTTTATTTCCAAAGAAATTGTTAATAATAAATTTTCTTCTCTTTTGCCTTTCTCCCAAAAATTTGGAGTCATTAACTATTTTCTAAATCATAAATTTATTACTATTTAATGTTAATATTTATAAGTTTTAATAATTGGCCAATAGTGGCTAATTTCTAGTCGTGAAAAGGATATTTTTAATTAATCCTGTGAGACCTTAGAAAAGTTTATATTTTTAAATGTTTCCTTTGATTTATTAAAAAAAATGTATTAAATACTAGTATAGTACATTCTGAATTGACTAATCACCATAAAATATCAAAACAGATATAAACATACTCAACAGTATTGCATTTTAAATTTTATTACTGGTTAAAAATTGGTTTTCTCTTTGTTTTTCACATTGATACTTGCAATAAAAAAGTTTATAGCCCACTATTTTAAATTTTTCAGGGTAATTAAAATTTATGTTCATAATTTTTATATAGCTTTTTGAAATTTAAAATTTTATGTGATTTTAAAATTTTTTAATTTTTAAATTTAAGGTTTAATAAACTAACTACTATTTAGTACTGATAGTAAATATGAAACCCAAAATAGTATTTCTTTCATTGTTTTAAGTTTTTTTTTTTAATATTTATTATTTATAATTGCTTGCCTTATTCAAAACGCTAGTTGCAATTTTTTTTTATGTGAGTGTGAACACTAAATATGTAAGCAAAATATTTCTTTTTTCTTTTGGTTTATTCCTTTTTCCTTATTTTTATTATTATTTATAATAATCTTTTTAGAATATTATATTATTATATTTACTTTTATTAACTTATGAATTATGTAATATTAAATTTACATTTATATTTTTAAATAATTATTAATGAATATCATATTATAACTATAACCACTATTAATTCCATGGGTATCTTTTAAATTATGTATAGTAATTTTGATTGAATAATTTTAATTTTAATCTATTTTGGAACAATATTATTGTTTTATTTTATTTTTATTTTTAACAAAAGTAGAAAAAAAGTTTTATGTATAACATTAAAATGTAACATTATTTTTGTGATTTAATCTGTTTAATTAATTTGAAGGTAAAAACAACAGAAGAATTGAAGTCTGAAGATGTCCAACTCTTAAAACAAGATATTAGTTCTATAAATAATTTTGTCCACCGTGTATTAGACTCTACCAAATCAAATCAAATTGATTATAATGTTTGTATTTTCTTTTATTATTTTTTAGCAGTACTAAAGACTGTATTTATTTTTACATTTAGCTTATTATGTCTGAAATTGAAAACTGTAAAAGTGTACAGAAAAGCTGTTCAATTAATTCATGCGGAGTACTAAAAAATGAACTAACCACATTAAAATATTCTATTACTAATTGTTTGCATAACATTTTATATAATAAACTAGAATCAAGAACTAAAATAAACACTGATGATTCTCGTCTTATTTATCTTAATCGTTGTAAGTATTTTTATTATAATAAGTTTAATATATTTTCATGAATTTATCATTGGTTCTTTTTCTAGATTGTTTGGAAAATAATTTTAAAATTGAAGAAGATAGATTTCAAAAAGTTTTTATTACATTGTTTCTCCATTTTTTTTTATCATTTATTGTAATTCTTCATGATGTTCTAGAATACTTGCTTAAAGAAATTAACCCTGAAGTACGTTTTAACATATTTATTTTTAGATTAGTTTATACAAATTATGTGATATTGATCTACTCTATTATCATAGGAATAAATTTATTAAAGTAATTATTTTTTTTGTATTTGGATTTTAGGCCATCGTCACTTTACAAAACAGTTTAAAAAAATTGAAAAATCAATCAAATAGCAACTCTTTACTATTGGAAAATATTTTAGTATACTGTGATGAATTAAAAACAATAAGGTTTTATTTTGCTTAAAACAATATTGATAAAAAATTGCTTAACTTGTTATCTGTACATTTATAAATTGTTATGGTATAAAATTTATATATTTTGATTACATTTGATGTTGTTTATAATATATCATTTTTTAAATTCATATCAAATTTATTAGCTTAATTTATATTATTCCATAACTAAATAATTATTTAATTTTTTTTTTTTTAGATTTTCTCCTCAATACATTCTTATGGAAAACATTTTATTATTTATATCAAGTAAATATATTGATTCTATTAAATGTATTAATGATTTGATGAAATCAGGTAATAGTAATTTATCTATTTTTATTTGTAGCATAATTTTTAATAAACATTACTTGTTCTTTTTTCTTTATAGATCTTACCAACCAATTTGATTGTTCATCTTTACGTCAAAGTATAATATCGTTTATGGCACTAAAATTTCCTATTGAAGGTATTATAAAATTAAAATATACATTTTTTTTCAGTTGATTGTTAACTTCATAATTCTTATACAATTGAATAATTATTATTATTTAATTTTTTTTTTTTTTTTTAATTTCAGAATTAGTAAGTTCTGGAGAATATTGGGATTTAAGTTGTGTCAATAAGAAATTAAATGATGTTCATGATACAACGCATACAGTTAGTATAGTTTCTAATGTAATTTTTTTGCAATTAATATTTTATAATATAAAAAATAGTGTGAATATTTTAAGATTTCACAATCAACTTAATTGTATATTATTAATATTAATTTTGTTAATTGTATAGTTGTTACGTGCAATAAATATATTGGAATTTGAATACTTTTATAAAAATGGTCAAGTAGATATGCACTGGCATATGAAAGATTTTTTGTTACACATAGAACAATCAAAAAAAATAATAATTTGTATTAAATGGAATTTATACAATTGTGTGTTTTTTTTTTTTTTTTTGTTATTTATTTAATGTATATTTTAGGCCAAAGAAGAATTTAATTGTGATTCAATTGCACAAAATTGCTACAAAAATATAATAGATGTGTGTAATAAAAAATTAAATAATGAGATAAGTCGGTCATTATCTTTGGAACAAGAAAAAATCCATTGGGAAAATAAATATAAACTTTTGTGTTTGAAGAATGATAGTGTAAGTTTGTAATAAAATCTTTATAATTAAAATATTGTTATTTATGTTTCGGTTTTCCAACAAGGAAATTGAATATTTTTCGGCATCATAAATAAAACTTTACACCCAACATTCTATGAAAGTAGCCACTTTACGATTTTTTAAAATTCATGAATAGTGACACAATATTGTGATTTTATACATTTTTATGAAACTTACAACTGTTGCATTTAAATAATTTAAAATTTTCAATAAAATAACAATGATAAAAAAAGTCAAAATATGTAATATATATTTAACTCTCAGAAACTAATAATTTTGATAGAAATTCCAACTATTTTATTGTTCTTTATTAATCGAAACAAACTTATTTATTAATTTATTATTATTTTTTATTTATTAAAGATTATTATAAAATGATTGTAGATAACAAAGAAGAAAAACTATTCTGGGTCTTCGGGGCCATTTGTAATAGAAAATGAAGTAAGTAAAACAGTCAACTAGTGTAAAACTAACAAATAATTAGCAATTTATGCATTGCACTATTTTTGCTTACCTAATACTTTTTTTTATTTAGTTAAAGAAAAATTTACATTAAATATTATTACTGTTTATAATTATATAAGCTACTATAGTTCAGACTGGTTATTCATATAATTTTTTATAAATAAATAGTATTGCCAAGAAGAAAATAACTAAAGCTAACATTTTGTATATTTCTAAGTTTGGTCAGGATAGCTTACGGATTACAAAATTGTATGTAAGAAGTAATAGATTTGTAGTGATTTATCCAAAATATTCTTATACATAACCGCATTAAAATATAACTTTTAGTATCTTAATTATTGTTTATACTTTGTGTAAATTATAAATAAGTTTTTGTAACATAAAACAATTTAATATGATTGATTTTGTTAAATAGAATTAGTTTGCATTTTTAAAGAAAATATATATATAAATATATGAAGTCGACAACTTTTGATTTGGAACAGAATATGAGTGTTGCGGAAATGAGAATGCTTAGATGTATGATTGGAGTGACAAGAGAAAATAGAATAAGGAATAAATATTTGAAAGGTAGTATTGGTTTAGCGTCAATAGGTATTGCAGATAAGATGAGAGAAAATAGACTAATATTGTTTGGGCTGTGATGAGGCGAGAAGAAACAAAAACGGTAAAATTGGTTACAAAAATTAATGTTGAAGGGAAAAGAGGAAGACCAAAAAAAGAGATGGTTGGATACAATTGAGAATGATATGATGACTGTTGTTGTATGCGTAGGGGATGTAGAAAATCAAAATGAATAAATGTTTTGGACAAAGGTGGCTGATCCAAAATAGTTAGGAGGATGATGTGGGAGAAAAAGATATACTTGTATATAAATATATATTTTTAATAAAAATGTTTTCAATTAAGTATATTATTTAAATTTTTCTATTTTAATTATAATCAGTTATTGGTTAATAGTTAGGAAAATGTGAATCTAGCAAGCAATTTAATGATGAAGAAATAACAAGAGAAAAAGAACTTAAATGTTATTTTGAAAACAAAATTAACAATATTATTTCCACTAATAAAGATTTATTGAGTCAAAGCAATGCTTATGCAATGGAGGTACATTCATTTATATATTATATATGTTATATGTAATCTATCCAATATGTTTATTTTGTATAGATCAGTGCATTAAAAACACGATTGGATCATAGCATATTAGTCCGTAACCAATTAGATGTTAAACTTCAAGAAGCATTGGAACATATTGAAGATCTGAAAGAGGAATTTAATTTGACATCTACCAATTATGAAGCTCAACTTAGAGCCATGACTGAACATTTAGCTAGTTTAAACGAGACTGTAGTTTTAGAACGAAGACACATAGATGATCTTACCAGCCAATTAAAATCAAAAGGAGTAAGTTGAAATAAGGAGTCTAGTATTAAAACAGTGAAGTTATAAATTTTTCTACAATCAATTTAAATATGCAAGTGTATATTTATATAACACATAGATATTTTGAATCATATATGAGTGTTAATTTTGATTTTTCTTTCATATCAAAACATATTTTTAAATTTAAATAGCAAAATTGTATTTCTTTTTCTTCATATTTTGTTGTTAACAATTTGTAATCTAGGTTCAAATAAAATTTGTACATTATTAACGAATAATCTAACATATTATCAATTCCGATTCCCTTTTAAATCGTAAAAATCTTTCGCCTTTTACTAAACATTTGCGTGGAGGGGAGCATTCAAAGGAGTCTAGAATTCAATTTTTTTTTAATATTGATCATTATAATCATTATTTACTAGTATTTATTTAGATGGTTAGGTAATTCAATTAATTTTTTAATTGATATTGTGTTATGAAAACATTAATTGGTTTTACACACCTGATATGTTTCATAATTGGTAATTTACGTAACCTTTCATAATTAATCTAGAGTTAAAATAGTATTAAATAAACTTGATATTGGTGTAATATTATTTTTATTAATTTGTAACATGATTTGATCTAATAAATTAAAAATAATAAGATTTTTATTTATACATATACTTTTGTTTTTTAGGACAAGAAGAAATCTAAGTGAAATTATTAATTATTTTATTTAAGTATTATTATTTATTTATTTTATAATTATTTATTTATCTTTTATAGTATTTTATGATATTTACTTTTGTACAAATTATTATTATTCTAGAATCGTAACTCTTCATCAAAATTTTATATATCATTGTAAACATATTGTGATCTTTTCTATTTATTTATTTAAAATAATTTATAAAAGCTTGTTTAATTTTATCAAATACTATTTGAATTACTTTTTTCGAATCTCCAAAAATTATAAAAATTATCAGAGTTTAATTAATCTAGATTTATTAGTGTTAAAATAAATTGGACCTAAATTTATATTCAAGTTACTGAAATAATACTATAAATCTAATTTAACATTTTATCATCTCATTTATGTAATATACAAGATATTGTACCTGCAGTAATAATTGTAATATTTATTTTAAAATTTAGTTTTTTATTCATTGTATTTGTGTGGATTCAACATTTGCATAAAATAAACCATCTATTAAATATTATATTATACCTATTGATAATTTTTTTCTTTATTTACCAATTTATTAGAAATAATATTTAACTTCTTTCAATATATACAACATTTTCTTATTTTTATTGTAATTGAATAATTTAATGATAATCATGATTCATATAATACTATGAACAATTTATTGTGAAGTACATCTTAACTAAAAGTAAGCGTGACGTGACAAAATGTCATCTAAACTAGCATTTAAATTATAAACAATTCAATAACATTTGGTTTGTATTTATTGAGTTTTGCTAATCCTATGATATTTCAATTTAATTAAATTATAAATAAAAATTATTCATCTTTAATACTTAAATAAGTAGTTTAATTTATTCCTAATCTGTTTTTCTACAACTTACTTATGGATTTTTATAATTTAAAAACTGTTCAGTAAATTATAGAAATATATAAGCTAACAATAACAAGTTTTTTAATTTGTATCTAATTGTTAAACAATATTTTGTATCACAAATATATAATATAAAAACACATTAGATGTATTATGATGTAAATATATAAGTGGTAATTATCATATTATGTTTACATGCTTGGGTTGAATACAGATGATGAATATAATGTGAAAATTTGTATTGGATTTGCACAAATAATATTAAATAAATAACTTCATTATAGTGAAACTGAAAAAATACTGTATTGGTTGTGTACTTGAAAACCAAAGCTGATGATGAAATCTTTACAATGGCGATATTTTTCTGTCAGAAGACCACAAGTATGATACCATAAGATTAATGTAATGTTGTATACTATCCTCGATATATTCTGATCTTATTTTGAATCCCGGAAATAACAAAATGACCAAAACTAAAAATAAAAATAAATACAATTATAATTAACCTGCAGCAGTGTCGTAGCCAGGAGGTGGGCACCTGGGGCACGTACCATCCCCCCCCCCGCTGAAATCTTTTTTATGGGCTTAACTTTTGTAGTGTATCTACAAATAAATGTATTATACCTAAGTTATTTTATGATTATATTTATATAATACAAACCAATAGGTTATATTTAATATATTATATTTTGTAATTTGCATAATGCATTCGTAAAAAGTATTTTTTTGTGTTTCATTTTTAAGTCGACCGTAAATCTGAAATCGTAATATACTAAAAATCAATAAATGTCAAACGGCTATATGATAAGCAAGGACTATAGATAAAAAATATAAGTCGGGATCCAATTTTATTGTAAACACTAAACACGATTATAGGTATAATACCAAGAATCCATGAACCGAGTTTATCATTTATCAATCTATAAAACAGTTATAAATAGCCTCGAACCATCGCGATCGGACGTGATTATAATTGGTTTCACTAAAAGTGGCCATCGACTGTGTCACGTTTGGTGGAAGTACAGTGTTGCCAGGTCAAAATTTCAAAAGTTTCTATAATATTGTCCAAAAGTTTCGATTATACTTTAAATTTCCCCAGATTTTTTTTTGTTCAGGTCCGTTTCTAGCAAGATTTATAGATACTATTATCTGACTATCTGTAAACCTTGCGTTTCCGACACTTCGTTGTGTTACCATTCATTAATTATTAGTACTACAGTACTGTCTACTATGTTATGTTATCTATTTTTCTATCATACATAAAATCTTCAGTCATCCACTACAAAGTACAATTTATGCTGTAGAAATTATTTTTCAACTATTTCATTTTTGTTCCTACTAATTACTACTTTAAACTATTTTCGATTGTGGTGACGACAACAATTTATATAATCATATTTTATCTATTAAATAGATAATTCTAGATGAGTTATTTTTATCTTTATCTGAATGAATTTTAAGTATATTATCATTATATTTATACAGATAAAAAAAAAATATATATCTGGGTTCAACGCTCAACACTGTTTAATATAATCAATGGTGTTACATTTTACTTATAAGAATAATATTCAACATTTATATAGGTACATTAATTTATGTTTAAATTTATTTATTAAACATAATTATTATTTTTATATTATTTAACATTTAAATGCTGAGTTATATGAAAAATGTATTTATTAAATGGTTCTTTAAAGTGTAATGGGCCTATTGTGAGCCAATAAACAATGTTCATCAGAGATCATTCATTCACTATTGATTCTTTATAAAATTATAAAATTGAACAAAAAAAAATTCATTGCAACAACTATAGTATTGATTTTAAATAATTAGATGACTAGCTAATTTGTCATAACAAATAAAAATATTATAACAATTTATTTTTTGTACATAGTATTGTTGAAATTTATAAGTAGTTCTGGATTTATCTTGAAATCATAAAAATGTTTTTCCTCGTCTTTAAGCATATTTTTTGAGTGCAAAATTCCAATAAGCGACTCAGTAGATAGTCCATTTCTTATCTTAGTTTTGTTCAAGTTCATAGTACTGAAAATGCGTTCAACTGCTGCTGTACTATGCGGCAATGACAAAATGAATAGAACAAGTTTTAACAATAATGGAAAACTCTTTTCTTCATTTCCATTCTTAATTTCTGATATTTGTAGCTAAAAATCTTCAATTGGTAAATTTATATTTACATTTGACAAATTTCTTAATTGACGCCATTCCAGATCTAAATCATTCAAATCAATTTCTTTTAATTGATCTTTAAAAAAGGTACAATTGAAGAAATGCTAATAGTACTTGATATATTTTTAGGATCTATAAAATCCATATAATTTAAACATTGTACGTGGTCACTTGCAAAGGGGAATCTTTTATAAATTTGTGTAGCCAATTCTTCATAAAAATTGAGACATTTGGTAATGAACAAATTTTTATCTGTATCCATTAGTCCAGATTCACTGACCAAGGCAGCCATACATTTTCCTCACAAGTACACTTCATTGTTCTTAACAAACTTATTTGGATTTCTGTATTGAATTTTGGAAACATCTAGAGATTTCAAGTAATCATTCTGGATGTAACATTCTAATATGGTTTTATAAGCGGATTCTATTTTTATGTAAACCGTGTAAATTTTAGGCTTCTCAGATTGAAATTCTAAGGTTAAGTTGTTCATTATTGGTAGACAGTACTCCAAAAAATATAAATATAATTTGTTGAAAGGGTTGCATATCATAGTATATAATTTTTTGCTTTTTGGTCAATTAAATGCTCTCCCTGAAAATATAACTTCAAAGCAGGATGCTGTTCAATAACTCTTTAAAAACAAGACAATAGGGACAACCATCTTTGTTGTGAAGTTGTGGTAAGAGTGACTGCTATTGAATTGATTTGGGCATGAAGTACTGCTAAGAGATAAATGCAGAGGTGAATGATATGGATCTGGAGTGACAAATGGGTCAGGTGAACAACTAATGTTCAGTATATCAGTGCTACTGAATACAAGGTCCAACAGTGAGTTGAATTTGTTATAAATGTTGTATATATATGTTTTGATGCAGATATTGTAAGCAGAATCGTTCACGGTTTTTACAATAAACGTGAGTACCCTACCTCAACATATATAGCCAAGAATCAAAAATGAACTGAGTACAAAGGTTCTCGTCCTTCCATGTGGCGCATTTTGAAAAATCTGAACTTCAAGTACAAAAAATGTAATGACGGGCGTTGGTTCTGAATAGAGCAAAATGACATTGTGGCTATGCGAGTTAAATATTTGCGAACTATAGTTAACCTTCGCCAAAATAATGATACTCGGTCCGTTACCTATTTAAATGAAACGTGGGTTAACCAGAATCACATCAAAGGGTACATTTGACAAAGTTAATTTAATTCAGAAGGCTAAATGTACTTACAGGAAAAGGGAGTAGATTAATTATTTTCCACGCAAAATCTAGTAAATTTGGATTTATACTTAGATCAAAGCTGTTTTACGATACCAAAACGTTAATTTTAATAATTATCACTCCAAAATGAATTCTACTATTTTTAAAGAGTGGTTTAAACAAACGTTAGAAAAATACAAAGAAAAAAATATACGAGCTTGATGATCAATCGCGTTCGAAATGGGACATGAAGTCGTGCGTCTTCCACCTTACTATTATCAATACAACTTAAGAGAACATATATGGGCACAAGTAAAGGAAAGAAAATGTCACCAGTAAAAGTAGCAGATGTTGAAAATCTTGTGAACGAAGCGTTGGATGTACAAGTCATTGTTGACTGACAACCGCCGGAACTTCAAATTTGAAAATTTGGCAAAACATTTAATTATACAGTGTAATGCAGGTTAAATAATAAAAAATATTATTAATTAATAAATAATAATTACTTAAAATTTATTTTTATTTACACAGATTTTGAATAGTTCCATACAAAAGATGTCATCGTTCAAGTAAACCGGATATACATATAACAAGACTTACATATAAGTTTTTTGAAATTGTTAACAGAATATGGTAATTTTAGTTTTTTCAGTAATGTATTACTTCATAAAATTATATAATACATTTAATTAAATATTGTTTTACAATTTTTTTTTTTTTTGTTATTTTTGGTGTTTTATGGTATATTTATTGAACATATTTTAAGGTTTTTTTTGGTCATATTATTGTTGTGTGCCGGTCTGTATGTACTGACAGTGCAACGAGAATAGACTTCAATCAATGTAATATTGTAATAGGTGAGAAATAATAAACTCTCAACTTTAAAAATTATTATTATCAAATGAAAAATGTTCTATGTCCAAATAATTAATTTATTAAACAAACTGTCGTAATGGTGCATATCAGGACTAAAACACATCTGAAAATGAGTACGCTCGAGACCCCCTTTTATTCTTGATCTCGTGTGAACTCATTATCGTTCTCTGTTTCGTGACTTATTCAATACAGGATGTGGTCAGTGACATATGTACTTTTAATTATGAAGTTTCCCTGTGAATTCGAAATGTGATTTTTATCTAATAACCGCTATATGTTCATCCTCGTGTTGCTTGTTAATTATGAATATATGATCATACTTATTGTGTAATATTATTTAATACGTATTTGTTATTTTAACTATACTCGCCCACATCTATTATATTTATTGATACGCTCCGTCTTCGATCATTAACCTATCCTAATTTGGTTATATCATTCCCCCATGTATTTAAGTAATTATTAGTTATAATTATATGTACTCGTAGCATTATAGTGCATATTTTAGTATTTTCGGTGCTATTAAATCTGAACCCTGGTAATAATTATTTGTTAGTTATTTGAAATATTTATTTTTGTAATGGCCTAGTTTATTTTTTGTTTTTTTTTTTTTTTATATAATATAAATAAGGGTCACCAGATACCCGAGGTCATTTATGAAGCAATTTTTGGTTATTGACACAAAGAGTTTTGCACATAATAATCTCTGTTCATTATAAAGTATAACAAATCAAACATATATGTTTATAATAGCTGCTAAGTGGCTTACCTGTAATGTAGGACATGATTAAATTGTTGAATGTAATTCCAATATATAAAAGACTGAAAAATGATACTGAGAGAACAGCATGGAACTGAAAAAATAATTATAATTAAACATTGCATCGTTACAAATATGTATAACACAGTATAGATATCCTCTTTAAACGAAATCTGATTTTATAATTATAAATATATAAAATATATAAATCTTAAAGTATCAGGTAATACATTTACATAATATATAAGTCACTAATATTAAGTGTCTAATAAATTGAATTGTATTCGAGTTACATAGTTAAATATTAAAATAATGACTTCTGAACACAATTTCGGAACGTTTAAATATAAAATATAGAATATAAATATATAACAGTTTCGCACTTCGTAAATTTAAATTAAATCATTAAGAGTTGTTGGTTTTACTAAAAAACTATTACCAGTCTAGTGTTGGTTTGTCTGAGCTTGAAAAACCGCTCCATGTATAACCTCAACGTTACACAGTATTCCGCTATAGACTCGACAATGATCGTATATGTATCCTCTTTCTCTTGGTCCCAGCTGTTCGGTGGCAACATCTTTTGAAATGGACCACACACAATGTAATCCAACAGTGTCGTGCACAGACAGATCGTCCAAAATATGTTTAGAGTTGAACAGTTGACCAGCCAAACGTAACTGAAACCACATATATTGCACCAATATATAGATATTAATAATGCAATATATTCCGTTTTGACGGAAACAATTAGTAGACAAATAAGTGACTTATTTATACGTTATATTTCATTGTAGACTCAACACTTTTAAATACACTTTATGGCATCCGTGTTACAAACTCATTTTATTATGTTGAGTAGAGTTATAGTTTCTGGTCTGATATATTCTAGGGGTGCCCTGGTTTTTAGGATTAGTTAAAAAATTGATTAAATTAGGGCAGAAATAGTTGATGAGACTGCTATCCAGTTAAAAAAAGTTGTGAGCCATAGGGGAGAAAAAATTCGAATTTAAAACATCGAAATTCCTGTGTATTAGAAATATGATTCTAGGAAAAGCTCTATTATTATTATTATGTTATTAGTTCATATTACTTGACCAAATAAAGTATACGAAAAAACTGTACACTGGTATCTATATATTATTACACTTAAATTATCATAAAAATAATATTTATTATTCGATATATATTAGATATTATCAGAAATAAGATGAAATAATTTTTTTATTCCAATTTCAAGTTAAATTGTCATCAAAACCGAATCTTAATAACCACAGATGATATCCTACTAATAACATAATTTATGTGTGATTCGAATACACCTCTAAGGATATAATTAAGATTAATTTCAAAATATTCAAAACCCCTGAATTTTTGTGATATCATCATTATAAATTACTTTTTAACATTACATATGTTAAAAAGTAATTTATAATTTATGTCACCGGTAATAATAATTTACTCATGTATTTCAATTATATTAATCTGTTAATAGTATGATTCAAAATAGAAAACATTAATTTGTTGTCAACTTTATTTTTGTTTCGGACGATTAATAATGAATTTTTAAATAAAAATAATTTTAAAATTAGTTAATTAATAATACATAAATTTTGTATGATAAATAGGATGATAAATTTATTAACCATACAAACAAACAAATAATAAACGGGTTATATATATATATATATATATATATATATATATATATATATATATATATATATATATAAGTACTTACAAAAATAAACTCGTTACACATGTGACTGTAATTGCAGGAAACCAATTTTTTTTCCATTCCATTATTGCATTTAGCATTACTATAATTTCTCTCCATTCATTTAAGTAAACTTTAAGTCTTTTCGAAATTTTTTCCTGTAATAAAACAATTAAATAATCCTATGAAATAACATATACTTATGTAATAAATTCGTGAAGTTATGAATGAGGAAAGTCGTATTATTTAACTAATTACCACTAATTTCTTTCACATACTCGTACATCAGAAAACTATGATTTACTTTTATAATTTATTTGAATTTTTTTTTTTTACTTTACTTTTATACTTGTAATAAATAAAAAAATAATTCTAATCAGATTTCAATGTCCTTATGTTTATTTATAATTGATAAATATTAGTATCTTTTTTTATAAATTTATATGCAGGACCCAGAAGTCAAAATTGCAAATACTTGAAATTTAATTTAAAAACGTATTTAAAAATAGTTGAATCTCAAAATTTTTTTTATGGTAAATTTAAATTATGTAAAATTTGCTAATCATTTTTATTTTTAAGTTTATTTCGGAAAAAGTAGTTACTTAAAATATATTAATACATCTTTTTATTTTATCTACGTTTTATTACTAGCGCATACAGTTTTTTTGTGTGGGGAAAAGTTTTGCTTATAATATTTTTTTTAAGGAAAAATATTTCAATGAACTATATGCAAAAATATTTATGAGAAAACTTTTATAAATATATTCATAAGTAAAATGTAATTAATAAATAATAAATTATAGTCTATATACTTTTTAGTTTGTTGAAATAATTTTCATTAAAGGAAACAATTATGAAAGGGGAATGAGTTAGTCCCTTTCTCCATAAGCCATTGCGTTTGACATATTTTAAAAATGTGTTTATATGATGGTATATGATTGCTTAAAATTTGAAAAATTAAAATTCACTGAACATTTTTTACTTTATTAAAATGTAGAATTGACTTTAGACAGGATGATTTTCTAAACTTGATCCAAGTTAAATCTAGGAAAAATATTTAATTAATTAATTATATTTTGTGTAACTATTTATCATGTAATATAAACATTGCTTTATATTTACTCGTAACTAAAATATTTTAATCTTCCTTATTTGATTTTTGAATAGTAACCTATAGTTTTACTGAAAGATATTAATATTTTTGAAAATTTTAATAAACATCAATTTAATAACATAAATCTGATAACTAGTTATGCTTGTTTAAAGTTTGGACATGTGTAGAGTTAGGTAAACTAAATGTTCTTATATTTTTACATGTTTTCCTTCCTCCGATTCAACATTTAAATAATTATGACTAATCGTTTGTTTGATGTAAGATTTATGTACATCAACCTTCTCAGGAAACTTTACCGCATAACTTTGACGAGTAACAAGTAATATTTCAAGGGAATCTAACAATCTTACTTACATTCTGTTTTCTGGTTGCGTTATTAAGTACCTATGTGGAGATGTGCTAACGATAACTCTGAAGGCAAACGAATAACAACAACAATAGTAATTTCTGAAAAAAGATATCAATTGGATACGTAATGAAATTCTGTATAATTAAAAAGTTTTTGGAACCCATTAAAACGAATGTTGTGAATTTATTTATCGAATTTACGAATTTTATTATCACCCATATTTTTTTAAAAAAAAAATTTGATTAAACGTACCAATAAAATAGTAAGAACGGTAGTTAAGTATATACTGAATTTTGTGAACATTGCAAAACTTCAATAATAAATGGTTTAAATGGTTTTATAATGTAATTACATTTTTGTTTTTTAACTTAAAGAAAGTTGCGTGATAAATCTTCTCATATTATAAATTGCAAGTATAAATTATTTACGAATAAATAAATTATAAATGTATGATGTCAAACTTAGAAAATAATTTATTAAGAAATCCACTCACAACCACTATATATTTTTTCCTGTTGAAACTTGATTGATTCAAACTATATATACAAAATGTATAGGATGATTTTAATTAATGATATTACTACTAGAATAAAAAAAAAATTTAATTTGATTACAAAATAATATACCCATTTAAATGATCACAGTGAAATCATTAGAATCCGATAAGCCCCAATAGTTTGGACGGACCATAATAAATTCAAAACAAACGGGTTCGGATGACAATATCCGAATCATTATCATCAAATAAAATTATATTGAATATTTATCCAACACAGTTGTATTAATTCTGCAACACGGCGCACGGTTATCGGGAATGCCATGATATAATATTGTACATGAACGCGATGATTGATAAATTTGTACTTTGAAGCATAATTATTACTATCATAACCCATAGTTGATGTGCGCGATGGTACGTTTATATTAATTATATTAGTACGCTTATAAGTACATTAGTTATCGGACGACTTTTTTTGAAAGTAATCTAACAATCAAATCTAAGACGTTCGCGTGTAAAAATATAACTGCATGTAAACCCAAGGTTTAAAACCGTTTATTATTACACATGTATACACATTACCTATATATATATATATATATATATACGTACAGATACTTTCTGTTCAGCAAATTATTTTCACCATTTTGCTAATGTCTACGAGTTAATAGTAATTATTTCACAGAATATATCACTTTAAAACCAATGGTTATAATATTACGTTCATTTTATGATTGTAAATAACGTCATTGCTCACGTTATTTACAACCATAATGTTATATTTAAAAATATTCCATAGACCTTTTCAACAGAAAATGCATGAAGGTATGTGGCCCGAAGACCAATCTTATCCACAAATATGTAATTTCAACTTTTCTAGAGGATCAACAGCAGAAAATATTCATTTATATTATAAATATGATAAAATATCGAAATTATCGAATGTTTGTACACATATATGATAGCGAATGCATACCTTAATCGTGTATAAATGGATTGGAAACTCGATCGTAGGGGGACACAGATGATAATTAATTAATGGCAAACGGGTAGAATTTGATAAAAACACGCATATCATACGGATGAGAGTATGAAATTTTTCGAGCCTGGGTAACGTTATGAATTCGAAATAATGGTTCGAATAGGGCGATTCTTACCAGCCGTCGATGATTTTTACAAATTGTGAAAATAATGTGTGAACAGAAATATGTGTACCAAATGAGTCACGCGATAAGAATAATCGTTGATCGTGTCTAGAACAGCACCCGGTTCCACGCCCTCCTCGCCGTTTCGGAAACGCCGAGAAACTAACCAAGGGATCATAGTAAAAGCTCGGAAAGCGAATGGCGGGTAAGTCGTACTCTTTAAAATCGGTCTAACCGATGGTGCGATGGCCGTACCTTGTCCGGAAAACCGGTGCACTCGGCGTCCGCCATTAATGGTCTCACGTCTTCACTGGGAAGGTGCACGCGGTGGGTACCTTGCAGGACGAACAACAACGTATTCGGTGGTAGTGGTCCGCGGGGACAGGAGATGACGAGCGTGACGCGATCGAGCGGTTCAACTGTTGCCCCGATTGCGGACGAAACACGATGTGCAATTTGCTTGGCCGTCGGCGGGAACACGAACGGCAACCGCGGTTTTCGGCACTGTCGCGTTTGGTCGTGCACCTTTGTTGCGTACAGCTCGGCGAACGCGTCCGACAGTGATTCCGACGAGATATCGTTGCACCGGGTAAAGCACAGGCGGAACTGCGTACGTCCGAAAACCGATAAGATCATCGGACGCCGCCGGGGACGGCGACGGCCGTCGTTATTTATATATATTCGGCCCATCGGTTCGTACGAAACTCGTTCGCGTTATCTTAATGCTGAAACACAATATCGTTATGACACATGTACAATCGGACGGACGACTGCAATTACGATTATTGAATTGCAATGCGGGTATTTCGTTCGTTCGGAAATCGTTGTGCGGCTCTGCTGATCGCTCTTGCTGATTGTAGACGACGACCAAAGCGAATTGCGATATCGAAAATACCAATAATAAAACACTACACAATACAGGTACAGGTGATGCGAACGATTTACGTTACGACTGTCATCATTGTGTCCCCATGGTTTAGTAAACTTGCATTGTAAACAGACATGATCATAATGTTAAAAGAAATGTTTATACGGTCGATCTAATTCAGTCATACCTTACTAAGATTTGGTTCTTATAACGTTCGTCGCACGACATTGTGCTCTGATCATTTTAATTTATTTTATTTTTAATTTATTTAATTAAGTATAAAAAATGTGGTTATGAAAAGTTACAGGGGTTTATACTTTTTTTTTTTTCGTAAAATATTGTTTGTTTTCGTAAAACATTTTATTCTATTCATTATTCCTGAAATCTTTCAAGGTCCATTATCAATCTTCAAATTCTGATTATAACTACTTTTTTTAATCGTACAATTGTTTGTGAAAAATTAAAGAACCCATTACTTATAAAATTTTTCTTTTCAAATAAATAAATTAAAACTTCAAATGCACAAATACACCATAAAACTATTATGAATTAATTTTAATCATCTTTGTTTGTCTTTGTTTATTGATGTAAAAAAAGTTTTTATCTAATTTTTAATTACAGTTATAAATAATTAAATTTTTATTAAATATTCATATTTTACAGAGCATAAATTAATAAGCTATTTCAATCAAGGGAAAATAGTAAATATGCAAATTCAAAATATTTACATTATCTGTCTTTATGAATAGGTATAATAATAACAATTCTCATTTTAATATACCCAATGGGTATTACCCATGTTATTGTTTTCATAAAACTTTTTAAACCTATTTGATTATTTTATTTCTTTACTTTTTAGGTTACATGTGATTTCAAAAGTTAATTTTACATGTAAGATAAGGATAAAAATATATGTTTACGCATTCTCAATGGAAAATTATTTTTTTATGATAAACAAATAAAATTATATGAAAAATAAATATTATTGTAAAATTATTTATATTACTTAGGAACGTATAAAATGTATATATATTTAAGAATATTTTATTCATATAGTATTTTATTGAGATATAGATATTAATTTAAATAGATATTTGGTTAGTTATATGGGGTGGGATATTCAAATTTAAGGATACCACCAATGAGGCTCATAAAAAAACAATTTTTTATTACTTTATTTAGCTTACCTAAATGCAGTTATTATTTTTGTAGGTTCCGAGTCATTGGCGCAACTAGGTCTAAAATATTGGGGGGGGGGGGGGTTGAAGCCCTATAAATAAAATAGTCAATGTGAGCTATGAGGCTTCGCCCCTATATCCCCCATTGCCGCAGACACAGAACAATAATTATTAATTGAAATAAAAACAATCATAAAATATTATTACCATACTATATTATTAAAAATTATGTACCTACTTCTATGTAATATGTTTTACATAAAATATGACATAACACCACCGCAATATTCCACCGTCGTCCAATATATACTTACATATTTACAATTAGTGTAAAATTATTTTAAATTTTATTTTATTTATTACCTGTCATGAAGTACGACTCTATTAATATCTTGGGATTTGTAATGTTGCAAAACCCAATAGCCCTAACTTTTTGTTGAAGTTTTAATTGTATACATATACGTGTTTTTTCTTCTTTCATGGTTATACTGTTGGAAACTTCGTTTTTAAAATGCCCACTCGCTATCATGTCCATTATTTTTGATTTGTACGATAATGTCGACTACGTACAAATAATAAAATTAACAATATTATATTATATTATTAAAACATATTTTTTTACCTTTTCGTTTTTAGTTTTCTTTTGTTTTACTCATATGACTAAAGATTTACCTTTTATATTTTATTTTCATGTTTTATTTTTTTTTAGCATTAGAGCTAAATGTTTTTCTTATTTCTTGCTGGTCATTTTTACAAATTGAACTCTCAACTTAATACAAAAAAGAAAACAAAAAAAAAAAAAATCGAAAAATATAGCAATATTAACAACAATAAAATTAAATTTGTATAATAATTTTTACTTACCTCATCATTTGAAGAAGAGTCATCAATTGTATTATAACAACTCGAAATTCTACAGGCTCATGCAATATCATACAAGTAAATTTATAAATTAATTAGTTAGTTAGTATAATTAAAAACTATTAATAATCAAATCTTGTTTTTATTAATTGCATGGTGAATATTTCACGTGATAATTATAATATATCTAATATAAAATAACCATGTTATGTTTCTAAGAACATGTAAGATTTTAGTAATAACATTTATAGATAATATTTATTATTAATATAATTTTTTATTTCTGGAAAAATGTATTATAATGTTGTCATAATCTTTAATTTCTTCAGAGAAGCATGTGTATCATCCTTTTTAATAAAATAATCAGAAAGCAAACGAGTGATGATAATAATTCAGAAATGAATAAAAGTTTATCGACACGTTTCGTATTCCAAAAATAATTATTGTGACTTTCGAAAACATAATTTCTTAGAAACATTGAAGTATGTAGTATAACACTATACTCTTTACAAAATAGCTATTACGTTACGTATCACGTTAATTGTTTATTACATTGAAAACTATTTTAAATAAACAAATTTCATTCATCACAGTAGTAGAATACTGGTCGTTTATCACTGATGAATCATCAGTGTTCTCGGAAACATTATAATTTGTCGTTTTTATGATAAAATTAAATTATAAATTAATTATAAATATTAAATATTAATAATAATAAATTTATAAATAATAATATTAATAATAATTAATAATTTATTTTAATTAAGTATTAAATTAAATATAGTAGAAAAATAGTAATTATATTATATCATATTAAAACGATTTGAAATAAACTCATTGTAATCATTACAGAATTTGAACACTAGACGTTCACAGGGTCGATGAGAAGGTGAGGCAGTAAAGACTAGAGCCCCAGGGCCCATACCTCTGAGAGGATTCGTTGTCTCAGCCTTTTTTACAAAATTATAATATAATATTCGCTATAGCATGATATGCAAATTTGAATATCTTTATTATACTAAAGTTCGTACAAGAAGTATGTATATCTTGGTTAAACAAATGTAAGTAATGGAATCGATCAGCCTTGGGGCCATCAAAAGTTCTCACCGGTTTTGGTCGTTCATCACTCACCAGTGACATAAGTGACTACAGTGAAAACAAAAACATATCGACTATAGCATGATGAAATATATCTATGAAAAATTCAGTAAATAGCTGTTATTCGTGTGAGTAAACAAGTATAAATATGATTTACAAAATATATCAGCTTGGTTATATTTTTAGGTCGTCTATTAATTGATAACGGTGAGTAAAATAAAAATGAAAAATAAATAAAGGTCTATATTGTGTAAACTCTACATGCATACAAAATGTATTATACAGTCGACTTTCAATAACTCGAAATTGACGGGACTGTTGAAATATTTCGAATTACCGAGAGTTCGAATTACTGAGTTCAGAGAAAAATTTTGTTTTTTTTTTTGTACATAATTATTAATTATTTCAGAAAATTAGGTGGTGTTAGTTAATTATTTTTTTTGAAATGTAAATTTTAACTATATAATAATCATATTATGTAAATTAAATTATTATTTTTTAAAGAAATTTGTAATGATTTTCTGCTTTATTGAATTTAGTTTCATTTTTTCAATAGTACTTTTTGAATTTGATGCAATCATCACAAGAACTTTACAACTGACCAAACGAAACTAAAATAAAACTACATTCGGCTGATGGCTATCAAAGAGATAAATTTCAATTAGTGACGATTAAGGAAATAAACGATAAAGTTCTTACAATATTAATTCTATAATTATCGAAAATAATATGCTAAATATCTACACGATTGTATAGTAAATTATTAACAAAAAGATTGTAAGAATACAGATAAAATAAATTTGCTGATTATACTTTGAATTGCCGAGCGTTGAATGGATGATATTTCGAATTGTCACGTGTTAGTTGCTTGTTTTCCAAAATGTAATTTCGAATTACCGAATGTACTCAAATGCATTGTTTTTATTCGAATTACCGTGTGATTTTCAAGGGACCATTTAACTTGAATTACCAAAGGTTTCGAATTATCGAGAATCGACTGTAGTTATTAATAAATTATATAAGTAAAATATTATTTATAAAATTATGTAGGCCTAACTGTCTATATTTAAATTTAAATTTATATAATTTTATGGAAGATCTTATACTAAATAATATTAATTTATTTTTAATTTACAAACTACAAACAAAATAATATAGTGCTTATTCCAGAAGCTATAAGACAAACTCATATAAAATCAAATATTCAACATATGGAGGGTCAATCTTTAAAAATATTGGCTGATGGTAGAGTAAAATTAATGAATCATAATCAGGTTTCGGAATTTATAGCATTTGATATTTTTATGGTTTGACATAAAATGTAGCAGTTTTGTGAAAGTGTATGTCGTGTTATGAAACGTTCAATTATGAAATTTGAAAGTGCTTATTTTTGCTTTTTTCAACAATTTTTTTGAAAAAAAAAAATGCTTATTTCCTGTTTTTCTGATTATTCTTGCTTTTTTGCATATCTACTTAATTATAAACGGTGACGTAGGCTTCTGTCTTAACCCAGATTTTTTTCAACTGTTTATAAATATCATATACATTTTATTTTTTTGGAAAATCCATAAACAATAAGGTAAAATGTCTTGAAAGTCAAAGTTAGACTTTTTTTATAATATACCTGAAGATTTATTTATTTTTAATT